TAGATTAATCAATTCCATCATTTATGAAACAAAGTTTAAGTTAAATTATTCTATTTAAATTTTTCATTTTCTTAATAAAAAATAAAAACCATATCATGTATTTTCTGTCAGATAAATAAAAAAAGTTGTTACACCTAAAAACAATTTATTACTTTTGAACCGTCGTATATACGATTGTGTCTATTTATCGTTTTAGCAAAAATGTTTTTTTCGTAGTCCCCATTTTAAAATAGATGGTAAAACCTAAAACTTCCTTAGATGGCATTGACTTCAAATCTAGATATATTTTATAATGCTGAACAATTTTTTCAAATAACATTTCCCGAGATTTTTCAAAATAAGAGTACTTCACTCTTGTCACAAAAACAAATATTTGATTTTGTTGTTGTACTGTATTTTGTTGGTGCATGTTTAGTTTTAGGAGATGCACAAACTTTTTGTCGAAAACCCTTAATAAATAAATTTCCCTTATGGTGCATACTTTGGGGACGACACTGTATATCCATGTTGGTATGTCATAGTGACAAAAAAGCAACCATCATCTAAAGTCTAAAGCGATCGTTTCAATTGAATTTTGCATCAACCATATATCTTTCTCAATTCTATTGCATACTTTTTTTTATTGTGTTCACATTTCGAAATAAATAGTTAAAAGAATTGTCAGAAATATTAACACGTTCAACTTTAAACACTATTATCCTGATATGTTCAAACGAACATATCGGGATAATAGTAAGTAATAAATAATAGTAATAATAATAATAGTACCTAACTAATAAAATCATAAAAATGTAATTTCTTTTCAAATCACTAATTTGCGCAAATATTGAACTTCATTAGTGGAATTGCTTAACTCTTACCGAATTTAGACTTTAATCAGCTGCAATTAAAGTGGTGATAAATTATCAACAATTTTTAATCCATTGAATTTATGATGTGAAATTATAATCCCATAAGTTGTGAATTTGAAGCATGAGTTGTGAATTTAAAGCAAAATAGATGAATGATGGAATTAAATTTTTTCAGTGCACAGTTTTTTTGCAAACACCCTGTAGGAAATTCTATTTGCTGGTTAAGAGCTACTGCTTGTGGAATGTGAAATTTAGTGTCTAAGAATTTACCTGTACCGTGTACAGAGAAATGTAATTAGACATCGCAAAACGACATAATTAGTTTTCAGTGGATCCTTAGAAAGGATACAATTCAAACTCCTTTGAAAAATAGTTTCGTAGTGAAAACGGACGACGACGTGGTACATATTCAAACAATTTTTGTCTGGTCTACGAATTATAATTTGAAAGATTGACTTCAAACTGAAACCATCTAATATATGAATATTGAGCTTGTTCAGTTTGAAAACAAACAAACTTGTCGATCTAGTTAAAGGTTATTTTTGGTCAAGATGATTTCACTCTCAAAAACCCCCTAGACCCCTAGACAGTCAGAGTTATTTATTCATATACATTGATGAAAATATTGAAGATGTCATCAATACGCTTTAGTCTAGTTTTATCAATAACATAACAAGACATTTTTACTATGACTGTGGATTGTTTTTGGAAATTCATAAAATCGTAGAGATCAAAAAGATGCTCACACTTCGAAGAATGCAAATATTGATCATTTACCTCATAAACGTCAAAATAAATTTCCATCAATGTGCTGTCAGTATGTTTGAATATTCCTTAACGATAGATATAGACATACTCTTATACCGATATAGACTTATTGATCAAGAATATTGACCGTGCTTTACATTGATGACCAATTTTGTTTTGGCTTGTGCACAATAACAATATACTTAGCCGAAAGGAATGTATCGTGTTGACAACGTGATGCGTTAACAATGGAAAGTAAACATGGAAGATATCAGCTAAGATGACAACGATAATTACCTTATCTACTCTAATCAAACAAAGACATCTGTAGCTGCCTAGTGAAGATGTGTTTTTTGTATATATATTTATATCACGTTTGTAGATACTACTAGAAATAGTATTTGAATCGTAAATTCCTATAATTTTTATTTCATTTTCGATAACATTCATTTCGGTACACGGTCATCCTCATATACTATAAATTCTAATAAATAGATAAATTAAAATGGCAAGGCATCATACTATCAGAGTCAAGTTCAGAATAAAATATGCCGAAACATATTTTTTTAGAAATATGATAAAATAATATGGAGAACTAAGTAATTAGTTCACCTGCTATCGAAATACCAAGGAACTTAATATAATTAAAAAAATTGCGATTAACAAAAGGGACACTAAAAGTCTTGTACAATTTTCTTCCATTTCAAAAACAATTGGCTTCATAGTGAGTTTTTTGTAGAAGTTGACAAGTTTCTTAGTTTTTCATGTAGTGTCACAAAACTACATGAAAAAGAACGCCGTATCCGTATGCCACATGCCAGTAACTGAAGAATTCACTAATTCAAAAGTACAACTTACCTTAAAACACTAGTAGGGGAGACCGGGGTTGAAAGTCACATTTTTTTGTCTTTTGCATTTTTAGTGTCCTTTTTTATGATTTTTTTATCAATAGTGTTTTATACCCATTTGAAAAAAAATATTCTTTTTCTCTCCAACATCATCAATAGAGGAAATATAACAATTCTTAGGGAAAAGAAAAAGTGTGCCTTCTACCCCCGGGCCGGGGATGGTTGTCACAGTAGAGATATAAAAAACATTCAAATGAATATTTTCATTGAAAGTGGAATAATATACGTAATTAATTTTATCCAAAAAGAAAAAAAGTGTCTCATTTGTAGAAAAAAAAACATATTTCTTCCAAATAACTTCCCTCTGGTAACTAAAATACCGAAAATATCCATCAAGCCGCAATGCAGTCAGTCTAAAATTCAGTGAATATTCGAAAACATAATTATGGTAAATATAATCTGGTACCCTTGTATGGCATATGTAACCCGGTAAATGTAACGCTGTTTTTCGAATATACTTGGGAGACGAACCGAAATAAATACTTAAAGCCATGACTATGTATCTTTCTAATTTGTTCTTCTATTTGTCGGTGAAGATTTGTCGATACCTTTGATAACCAATTTTTGTTGATGGTATTGATAACACCGAATTGCTTATCTCTTCGACAGTGCATTTTTTACAAAACCATGTCAGAGTGCGAAATTAATTAATACGAAAATCACTTCTTATGCAGCACGTAGTATCACTGTGTGTAATACTAGTCGTTCAGACTTTCTCATAAGATGCCATGACATGTCTATGATTTTTTCTAAAACAAACAAAATTGTATGTAGCAGAAGCTCAAAAAGCCAACAAAAAATGCAGCACACATATATAGTGTTGGTTGTCACAGCCTCCGTCAATGTTGAGACAACCAGCTCCAAAACACATTTCAAAATATAACCCCCTGAAATAACTCGGAATCGAAATTCATTCAAAAAAACGAATAGTGATATCATGAACCACCAGGGCCGTCGCCATTAGGGGTGGGGGGAGCCTTCCCCCCTGCTTTTTCGACTTTCGAAAAAGTTGGGAAATTTTGGGCTGTGAAGATCCAAAAAAAAATAGTAAAAAAAATGAATAAAAATTAAAAAAATAAAAATGGGAGAAAAGAAAGGGACACGTAATAAGAAAAGGGAAAGAACCAGGAGAAGGTTGGGATTTCCTAATACGCATAACTTGGAGATCTCATACTTTGAAATTCTGAGTTGTTTGAAAAAGTTGAATTTCTCCCAAGTAAGAGAACAGTCTTGAACAGTCCACAAATTTTGAAGTGACAATTTTACAAAATTCTCAACTTTTCGCTGTTTTTCGACCTGGAAAAGTTGGGAAATTTTGGGCCGTGAAGATATAAAAAATAATAGTAGAAAACAATAAGCACAATATTATTCAAGTGTTTTTTCCTTTCACTTGTATTTAATATTCCTATACATGTTGGATATGGTGGAGGACCAAGGACCTTGGTCCAAAGTAGAATAATTCTCATTATTATTTTTATAATTACCAAAATTTATTTGTGTATACCCTAACGAGCATAAGCATTCAGCTAATCTTTGGATAGCTAAGTACGAAAATTAAAATATTATAGTAGTAACTAGTCCCTCGGCTTTAATTTTTTCGAAAGTTGAGAAATTTTGCTGGTGGGGTTGGGAAAATTTTCATTCCCTCCCCCCCCCTGGATTTTCTTTTCGCTACGGCCCTGTGAACCACATGTGTCACATCAAAAATACATGAAATAATATATAAATCTACGGAACATTCTAGTATACTTATGAGACTCGACACAAATGCACAAAAAATTACTTACTTTTGCTGTCCAAAAAAAACAAATGTACATATCTCCCTCACAAAGTATGAGAGTGAACTGAAGTGATGTTAGGATGGAGATATTGCTTTTGCGAATCTTCGATTTTGTTCGATAAACTCTTTCGTTCGTTCAATTTTCCAATATGACCGCTGTGACAACCAACTCGTGTGACAACCATACCCGGTCTCCCCTACTTATAATTCCGTAATTTTTTTCATTCATCAAATAACATTTCACAAATGTTTATGGTTTTTCTGATGCGTATTTTACATATGTTGTTTAATTTTTTATATTCACATATTTGTCAGATGGAATTCTTCTTGTATTTTATCTAGGTATTCTTCTTACTGTTTGTAGGAACTTTCTATCAATTGGAACTGTATTTCTGGTAGTATCTTCTGAATTGTTTTGTTTTGTCCATAAAATTTCGGGAAGGTGGCTTTGTAAACTTTCTCTAGATTTTCCTTTTTTTTCCAGTTCTTCACTGCAGCTCTTTTAATTTTTCATCCTTTGCTTTTTAATCAAAGTTGTTTTTTAACAAGGGATCATTCTGTGTGCTGTGTATTTTGTTTGAATGTCTTTGAATGTGTTCTACTTTTTATAAATGCTTCACTGCTTTTTTTTGTATTCTTTTGAATTTTTGCGACCAGATCCTTCATTATTTATCACTTTAATTCTTTAATTTTTTGCATTTTACTTTTTTTCAGACCACCTGATATTAGAAACCGATCCTGAAAAAGGGAAAACCGAATATGCTTTCGATAATCCGGGATTCAAAGGTGAGTGCAAACAACAAACGTTTTTAGAATTAATAAATCTCACTTGTGGAATGTAAATGAAAATTTATTAATTTTTATGAGTGAGCAATATGATCTTCTGTAAAAAGTATTTCAGTAGTGAGCACAGTTCGTTCATTATTGTCGATTTTTTTAATCATTTATTAAATTTTTCTTTTCGTTGCGACACCTTCATTTACAGAAAAGGTTCATTTTAATTCAAACCAAGTATTAATTTGATGCCAAGTAGAAAAAAAAATGTAATTCGCTTTTATTATTCGAAGAAACAAAAATGCAAAATTCTTCTTTAAAAATAGATAATGAGCTTTTTTAGAAATCATATACTCGTATGGGACACCGACTGATACAGTTGTCGCCAAAATCGACTTATTTGGTAGATGTTTTGAATAGCTATTGCATTCATTTGTTCAACTTTCAAAATTGAAATTCATAGATGTTTGGGATAACCACATACACCGATTGCAGAGGGATACGTAAGGTATCGGATAGGTGGCTCTTCTCAGATTTTCTACGAAATATCTTTGAATCGAAATGTTTCTTTAAAACCTCAAGCTATAAGTATAAGCATTTTTTTTCTCCTACTTTTTCGTAGCATACATTTCGAGTAATTTCTGCAATATTTTTCACTTACAGATGCGAGCTACTTGTCAGTTACCAAAACTCCGGAAAACAAATCAGAAGCCAGCAAATCGAAATGGAGTAAATGGTCTCCACTTTCGGCTTTAACTACCAAATCTGAAAAAAGAAAAACATTGGATGATATGGCTTTAGAGGTGAACATATGAACCCTTCGAATTTCAAATAACATTATTATTCCTAACCAATACGAAGCAAGAAATCATAAGAATTTTTTTATGTTATTACAGTTTTCATATCGAAACGACAGACATATTGTCTTTTGTTTTCAGGAAAATGAAGCGAAAGTTGTCGCTCTCAGAGGTCACGATTTCACAGGTTTGGGATTCAACATATGTGGTAACATGAAAGAAGGCATTTACATCAAAGATGTCTTGCATAGAGGCCCAGCTTTCGAATCTGGAAAACTCTCACCGGGCGACAGAATCTCTAGCATAACCATCAACTTGGAGCACATGGTTTATGAAGATGCTTTAACGATTTTGAGTTATGCTAGTCCCTACGACGTCATGATCGAAGCGAGAAGCGGAAAATCATTCCATAGCAATACTCCAGGTCAAGGAGGCCAGCCAAGTCATCCAGTATATCGGAGCTCTTCCTGCGCTGATTTATATCATGTAAGATTTATTTTTATTTGTTTATTAGAACTTTGTTCATTTTAAGTATCTGCAATATGCACCAAGCACATAACAGATGGTTTACGTAATACTTCAGAACCGAAATAAATTTATTTATCTTTAAAGTGACAAATACACAATTTTCATAATGAAAACTCTGTTTCAGGTGGAGAAAGCAGCGAAAAAGAGACTATTTGGAGAGGAATACGGCGGCTCACTAAGTTCAAATTACTCCAGTTTGCAAAAATCGGGAAGTAATATGACTACTCTGGAAAGAAGAGACTCCAAATCGCCTTTAACCAAACAGACTCATGCTAAAAAGCCATCGAAACATTTGAATCCTGAACAACTGAAAAGTAATTTAGAGCAACGTATCTTGACCGACCACCAGCATAATCTTAGGGTGAAAGATAGTACCCAAGAAGTCCAGGCTGATACCCAAAAAAACGAGTATAATTTTTCCAAATTCGGTATTCGTGTAATGCCTCTAGAATTGCAACAGAAAAGTCCCAAAAGTATGGAACAAAACGAGAATAACATAAACATAGAAAAACACTTGGAAATCATGAGTATTGACGAAGTGGACGATTTGTGTAAACCTGCGCCTCCCGTCAAACGTCGCGAAAAAAAGGCAATGGAAGCGCAGGAAACTTTTGAAAGGAACAGTTTGAACGGTTCTGGAATCAAACGAAACCAAGATGGTATCCCCTTGGAATTACCCCCTCAAATGCTGAACGCTGCCAACGCTGCTCTCAAAAATCGCAAAAGCCAAAAGGAAGGAGATGAAGGTAAACCCATTAGAGAAAATGAAGTTGGAGAATCAAGAGAAGAAGAGGCAAGAGCCATCAGAAAAAAGGGTAAAGCGCCTTCTCCTCCTGATGACCTCAAACTTCCCACTAACTTTGACGAGATCCACTCCATCGAAGACGAAGAGGCGCCGCCTATTTTACCAGACTCTCAATGGGAGTACATCGACGTTAAAAGAGGGTCTCCTCAAGAGGACGCTAAGGCCTACAACTCAGACTCTGACTTGGAAACGGATAATCAATCCTCCGTTAACACGATAGAACTCAACTCTACAGATATAACCATCCATCAAACCGAAGAAGAAGAACGTCAGAACAGGAAAACGGTGAGCACCGGAGATCTTTCAAAAATCAGAACCAAAAAGTCTGTTAATGGGCTTGAGAGAGCACAGAGCCTGGATATATCCGACCCGAAACATAAAGGCGGAAGAAACAGCGATGAGGATGATCCTATTTTGAACAGAGAACCACGTCTGTCGCTAATTCTTGACGGTTTGAACACCTTCCAACGGAATAGACTGAAGAAATCTACTGAATGGGGTAATCTGGAAGATGCTATTATGAAACTGGACCACGAGGATCATAGTTTGAGTAACGAAAGCTCGCAGATGTTAGATATATCGAGTGTAAGCGAAGAGACTCCGGAATTTGACGCGTTGGTGAACAAAATCAATGAAATTAAAAGAGAATCTGGAAATACTAACTCGCCTGACAGAAACGTACAGGAAACGAATGTCCAGAAAATAGTGGAAAATCTTATTTGGCCTAGTTTGGGTTCGCAAGGATCTGAAGAAAAAGTCTATGTAGTGAGAGCCGATAAGCTCAATAGACAAGTTCAAAGAGAGGGAACTGCAGAAGAATCTGCTGTAATGGACGAAATACCTGTTTTTGAAAACCCAAGTGATGAGCTCAATTTTCCAAAAGAAAATGTGGTACCCCGCAAAGTAAATAACAGAATATTTGAACCCTTTGAAAATAACACAGAATTCGAAAATGTGAATACCATCAGTGTTCCGGAATTTAAACCTTCAGAAGATTTCAGTAAATCAAAAACACCCGCATTACAAAAAGAGAGCCAATCAAAAAATTCCGTTAAATCTTCTATTGTGCCAAATAGAATAAGTAGTCGACAAAGAGTGCCTGAAGACATTCCCCTTCTGCCGCCAGAAACCCAATCTGAGCCAAATCAAGTTCAGAATATGACAGAGACTGGAATTACCAACACTTCTCCATCTCTGCGACTGGAAGATGATTCGCTTGACATCAGAGGGGAATGTCAATCTACAGAGGTCCGAACGTCTTCCAATATTAAATCAGAGGAAGTTCTCTCAAAAATTCCGCTGCTAAACTCCATGGTGAAAAACCAAAAGGAAGCAATACAAAATACGCTCGTCGGCAATAATAACACGGATGAGACTAAGACTGCGGTGACCCTTAATATCCAATCTTCACAACCGGACTTGCTAGACATTACTCAAAACTTTTTGTACACAGAACAGCTGAACTGTAATCAAGACGATTATACATACTCCTCCAAAGGCACAAATATTCCGGACGATATAAAAGTATCTCGGCACTCATATGGAAGTTTGGAAAGAGAGATAGTTCCAAAATCGGACGACGCGAAATCCAAAGATTTTCTAAAGCATGTATGTAATGTAAATGTTAACTCGAATGGAGACACAGAGTTACACAGTCTAGAGCTTAGCATAAATGATCCAAGCGAACTATATACCACAGCTATGGACAGTACTGCATTAAACTCTGATATGATAAAAAACGCAACCCTTAAGGAAGTCCTGACTGCTTTGAAAGATGATGGCGATAGTGTAGTAGCTGATGTGTCTAAGGACAATGAAGAGCTAACAGGAGGTCAGTTCTCTTCGTCAACTAAGATCTTTCCGCTCGACACCCCTGACAACTCCGTAGAGAGTTCTTCATTTACGTACATCACCGAGATCCAGGTTACTCCAAATACTAGTGCAGAAACTAATATTTCAGAGATACAGATAATTCCAGAAGCAAAGTCCAAGAGAAATTTAGATACAGAGTTTGAGAACTACGTAAAAAGTTTTGACTCAAAGCTAGAAAGCTTCGAGAGCAATATCCAGGAGTTCGATAAGAATCTGGAAGAATTTATCAATGAAGAACCTACTAGCATCATAGTAAACGAGCAGGTTGATGAGAACGAGCTGCACAAGATTCAAGAGATTGCGGAGCAACAGTTGAAAAAACTGCCTGAAATGAAGTTCACCACTGCGAGCTACGAATCGTCGAGGATACCCGAGAAGCGACAGTCGCAAATCGAGCTGCTCAGATCTAACTTTGAAAAGAGTCCGCCAAAGACTGGCAAACCGGAAGTTGTCGTCAAGTCGCGAATTCCTATCTCGACATCGGCAAAGACGCCTCCGACTTCTCCTGAGAGGCGCGACTCCCACAACTTAGAGATGGAGAACGACAGAGCTCTTCTTGAGTTGATGTCATCTTCGGTTAGTTCCACGCCATACACTACCTCAAAGTATCAGACAAAACCACTCAGTAAAAATGTGACCGTTACGTCAATAAGAAGTAATTCAAAAATTCCGTCAGGATTGCCTACTCTTGGTGGAAGCAGAGCGTCTTTTACTCCTCGGAAGATCGAGTTGGGCGACTCAAATGTGGTACAGGTGGCTTCAAATGGAAATTTGGAGAGCACCTTCAAGCAATGGGTTTTCAACCCATCCAATGTGACTAATGTCATAGTCACTAATAATAAAGAGAAGTAATGTTGTAACTCAGTTTTTGATATGGTGCAATTATTATGCTCAATTATAGATATTACCTACATATTGACTGTGGCAGTCTTTGATCTCATTCAGTCTAACCTGAAGTTTTAACTAAGATAGTAATAACTTTCTTAGCAGCTGACTCTAGAAGTATTGCATTCAATTTGGGATAAGTATTTGTTTTATAGAGAATTTCAAAATTGATCCCATAGGTCCAGCATTCTTTTAATCATGATTCATATAAACGGGGGTCCCAATATTAAGTTTAGAGTAATTCAATATCCTAAAATTTTATATGAAACTGCAGAATTTTTATACTTATTAATATTGAAAGTATTTTAACTTTCTTAGCAGCTGAAAAGGTATATATTGAAATTAGATCGAGGACTGAACATTTGTTAACGTAACATTTAAGCAATAAACTGTTTTTCAGTTAACGAGATCACTCTCAGATATACCCTATATTTAAGATTTTTATATTGAAATTGTTAACGATTTTATGTACATACTGTAATGATATATGTTTTTAAAAGTTATTGTTGAAGGTTCTACAAATTTTAAAGGTGCATAACATATTTGTATATACTATGATACTTGAATAAACTTTTTTTTCCATGGCTTTTTTCTTTAACACAAATTATCACATAATTATTACTATGCTACATTGAATTGAATGAAACTGACTATATGAATCCGACGAATCACGGTTTACAAATAATGGCAAAATTTTCGGTACATGCCATGAGAGAAGGCAATTTTCAAAAAAGGTTTGGCATCAATATGTGGGCTGGTATCGTTGAAATCAGAATAATTAGGCCAATATTGTTTCAAGGTTATTTAATAGGGATTAGGTAAGTAGGTTTTCTTCAAAATAAAATCGAGGATTATCTTAATAATCTATCTTTAGCAAATTTACGTCCAACAAGATGGAGCACTCTCTCATAATACCAGAGACCTTCTTGATTACTAAATAGAGTGTTTTAATAATCAAGTTATTGCAACCAATGGTCCAGTATGGTGGCCTGCTCGCTTACCAGATCTGATTGTGCTAAATTTCTTCATTTGGGGATATGTTAAAGAAAGAATCTACTATGCAACAGACCCAGCCACTCTCGAAATCTTAGAAGAAAGTATTCTACAGGCATTTAGAAGTTTAACTCCTCTAATGTTATGAAACGTGTTGAGAGAAACAATTGAACGAACTGAAATGTGTCCTGAACAAGGAGGAATGCACTTTGAAAATTAACTATAGTGGAGTTTTCAAGAAATTAGGATATTGCAAAAAAATGTAAGTGCCTTGCTGAAATTATTAGTTAGGTAGTTGTTCAAAAATGATACAATATAAATTGAAAACCGGGAGCCATTTCCGGTAAAACCGGGAGTGAAAGATATGTGAAAACTCACCTCTTCACACACCATTTACCTATACCAAATCTCATTTTCATTCACCTAATACTGTAAAAGTTATGATTTGTCTAGTAGATTCGTTGACACCCGGTATAATGACAAAAATGGCTTCGATTTACTTTTTAAGGTTGATCGTAACGGTAATATAAATACAGTTTAGGTTGATCCGAAGTTCGAATTTTCTCTAAAGAAGTATATTCCGATAAAAGACATTTGGTGTTTCGGAAAAGAGCTGAATATATTTTTAGTCTGATTATATTTTTTGTGCATTAAGTTTGATTCTAATTTTCAAGACTGAATCAACTTCCTCCACTGTTTACAATATTTGCTACTGGTCTCCCTACTGATTTGATGAATTTCAAGAATTTTGTTGGTTGTGCCTTCCTACTCTTCCATCTTTATACAAAAAAATGTGAGAAACTTCTAAAAGATTGAAGATGTGTAGATCATGCATACTTTCATACAAACATTGAATTAGATAGACAGATAATCTTTATTAGTTCCTTGGTACAAGGACCCTAATGGGTGTAAAACTTTTCAAATTATGAAAGTGTATGAATACAAAATAAAATGTTACATACTGAGAGACATACATATAATATAAGCGCTGAATTGGTGCAACAGCGGAATGTGCCCGACCCACCATTGAATGGTCGTGAGTTCGATCCATACCTCGACTAGATATTCTTGAGATAATTTATCTAGTTAAAGTTGGGATGTTTCAACAACGTTGCGTGGCTGACGGACTGTGAATAGCCATGACGCTTCCTAGGTGGCTCGGGTGGTTATTAACTAATATTGTTAATTTTGGCTAATCACCAAAGTAACCGATGCCGTTGATACCGAAAAAAAAATTATAAAAAAAAAGATTAAAGAAAACGAATACAAATTGGCAGACAACTCAAAGCCTTTCAGTGAAATATTCTTCTTCCAAATAATATGCCTTTGACAAAAGTAAATTTGAAGACTGTATTGAGGAAAGATAGTCGTATAAGGAAATGAATATTTGGAAATAAAATTTCGAAATATTCATCTCTCCCAACTTACTCGACTGACTTCAGCATGGTCTTGCTGCTGGATGAACGAGGAATATCTGCAAGACTACCTCTGAGGTATCTTGGATATGGTTCAATGTCCACTGTGATATTAGCTGGGGGAAGTAGTTGTTTTCAGACAGGCATTTACCAGAACCTACTGTATAGGTAAGTTAATAGAGATTGATATTTCTATATATATATATGCTCCGGGTTGCCCCTTTCCTCTCATGCAGACCTACGACTTTGTAGGTACGTGTGGCAAATACCCAACAGAAAAACAAACAACCCACCCAGCTAATGCCGCGCAGAGTTGAAGTAAAACCATCAGGCACATGTGCAACGTCTTCGATTTGGAAGATTCGTCGCAAATTATTTCCCACTATGAAAAGCAGAAATAGAAATGAATAAGTTGGAAGCCAAAACCTCCCAAAAACTAATCTCTTCCAAAAATATACCTCTGTCAGTTAGTTTTAACTTGTTTATTAAAATACTTTATAAATTGAATCAAATCACAAACATTTTGGTCACTCTTAAAACAAAATGCCCATTTACAACAACTATAGATTTTTAACTGGATGTATGAAAATATCTGAAACAATGGTAATGTTAAATGTTATCTCTAATACATGTAACATTCAATAGGTGTCCTTAGGCGGTACACAGGTTTTCATTTAGTCTTCTTGTTCCATACTAAGGATGGGCGAAAAGTTGATGCCGGTTTGGGTGTAAATCCTTTTCAAGCAGAGGACTGTCGATAATTTTTAGTACTGATTATTTTTTTTCCACACATAGCACAAATTCCTCTTTTATAGGCACAAGATTGACAATAATGCGACCCTACTTGATGAACTTTCTGTCTGCAAATTCTGAAACAGAAAAAATTATAAACACATACTTTTAAAAATGTTTTATGTACAAGCATACTTGCAAGTTTTAAAGGAGGTAGTCTGTGAACTGAATCTATTTTTTGCTGCTGTAAGAGCCTTGTTTTCATTAACTTTCCTGCCACCAGATTCAGTAGTGTTTCTTGCACCAGTCTTCCATGGATCGGGAGTAATCACTTTGCCACATTTTTTCTGGCACTTATCACAAACCATTATGTTCGTCTTAAATTTGTGAGCAAAACGTTTCAGAAAATTCACAATTATGATAATGTTATTATTATGAATGATGTCAAAATACCAAAAAGTCAAAGACTATATTTCAAATATTTGTCTTCTTCTTCTTCTTTTCGATTATATAATAATACAATGTCAGACAGAAATGTTTGTCTTCTGTCACACTTTCGGTAACTGACAAGCCATGTTGCCAATGGTAATTGTACAAAGCTAAGGACAAAATACTTGCGTTTCACTCGAAAATTAATGAAAATCCTTGAAATGTCTGACTATACTGATTTTTTGTAAATATTTGATTTTTAGTATTCCATAGTTCAACTTGATTCAGTGTTGCCGCTACCATTCAGAAAAAGTACCAGATCCAAATATAGAAACAAGATCCAAAACAAGCGAATCCATGAATGATTGATATATTCAATTTACATCCATCGTTTTCAATTAACAAAAAATTGAGAAACACGAGACAACGTATTAACTTTTGTAAATGTGACCATGTAGGAATTATTTCATGTCGAAGATAACAAAAATGTTCGTGTGTAATGAATGTAACAATTGTATATGGGCAGTTTGACTCATTTTAAAAACAAAATATTGAAAAAGTATTGAAACATTTGAAGGAGTTCTAAAAGTGTTTCAAGTTTCCAAATGTACTGAAGTACCATAACGGCAACGCTGATCTCAATGCAAACAAAGTGAAGTGGAAACCAGAAATAGGATTTGTATATAAGAACCCTGAAGTGGATAGATGAAAGTATAATAAAAGAGTACTTACCATATGAATTGCCATCTTAGAAATCACACGAAAAATTTCTGCCTCTCGAATTTTAAATCTCCAATTCCATTGAGATGTTGACCTTATTCATAATTGGGACAGACCATCTTATATTTTTTCATACTGATTCTTCATTTTGGAGCTCCAACTTCATATATAACGACTGGAAATCTCTTTTCAGACATATTCTGGAAGTCAGTTTCTCATTTACCAAAATGAAAATGCAGAAGGAACTCAGAAAGATAGGTTATTTATTAGCAGGTGTCAAATTATCAAATGTCATTATTTAAACGCAGTTGGTAACCACGGGGTCGCATCACTTAATAATTGTCTAAGCTTAATAAGGTCAATTGCATGTCTAATCTATGTTTAACAATTATTTGTGATATGATTGATGAATAACTGCCTTGATTGTTCACAAAACGTTACTTCAGCTAATTTTCAAGAAAACTAAATCAAAAGTTACTGCAATGAAAACATCAAATACATATAGTAAATACACAACGTAGCCAACTCAGAAAAAATACATGTGTCACAAAAGTAAAATCAATAGAATGGAAATTGATTTAAATCTGTTCACAATACTCAAAATGGATAATCTATACCTGACATTAATAATAATCAATACACAAAATCGCCTATCCGATGAAGTCTTCAAAATTTTCTCCTGACTACTTTCATAAGAGTGACAATGAAATGTATTTTATCAGACAAAAGCTCTGTGAACAAATCTTTTTAGGCGAGATATGGGAACAGAAAACATAGATATTATGTTGAAATATTGAACTTGCTTTCAAAACGCAATAATGGCATTATTGCAAAAAGATGGAATTCAGTTGTTTCTTCCTAAATGTAAGCAAGAGAAAGATGGTAATAGATAGGACAATTTAGGGTTCGTTTATATTGGAACACTGATTTAAGGGAATATGAAGCTGTGTGCGGATTTTTGCTTCATGTGTAGCGATTTTATAATTCATCCAGTTGGCAACACCACATAGTTCCGATATTCTGTGTCAACACTGACTGATTTATTTCGTTACAAACTGGCCGGATAGCCTTAGTTGCTGAGACCATTGAATCGAATAGAAGAAGAAAGAAGCCAAACTCAACTCATTTTTCACTGCCGCAAGCCGCAAGCTAGAGTAAGTAGTTTGTGGCTGTGGCGCTGTGGCTATAATCAAATAGCAAAGTTAGGAGACCGGCGGACTAATAGATACGAATACAAACAAAACTTTCAAGTCTTTCTAAATTTTATTATATGAATTTCAGATAATCATCATAGCATATATTATCATTGGACAAAATGAATTTGAATAAATTCACAATTGTAAGTGTGATTTCAACAAACTTCAAAATGAAACATTCTCAAACATTTCGTATCCTACGACTGGCGGACAAATTATTATTTATAAAACTAAATTTTTCTTAGATTTTACTTCATATTTATGTTCTAATAATATACTTGTGATGTACTGTTTGGAACCTTCAAAAGAAAGATTAAACTCAGTTTAATCTTCCTCTAGAAGATGATCACTTGTTGATCGAAAAATGTGTGGAGGTGTTGAAACGGTTTGGTGTTGGGGAGAAACTCCATTAATATTCTAATAATACAGTTGTTAGTTAATTTCAACTTGATTTGATTAAAAAAACAATGTATTCATCAAACAGAGGAATTAAATAGGACAATAGCTTATGGTCAGTTCTAAAATTAATTGAAAGTATAAAACAGTTTGAGACTCCTTCATATCCACTTCCTTCGGAAAGTATTGTGTAAATTTTAGGTTTGCATTTATTTTTTTATTAATGATATATCTATAATATATAGTCATTATGAATCAAAAATTTAAAATAATTTGATATGTTGAATGATGTTCACAGCTGATAAATAATCACAAAATATCTTTGAATTTTGAAAAACTTTCATAAATATACCTACATAAAAAAATGGAATGTATACATTAGCTTGACCATCAAGAAAACTTAAACTATAAAATACATTATAAATTTGAATTGAAGGGCTTATATATTCAGGAGTGATTAATTTTTGGGAAAGAAAGTTTTTGGCTTTCTACTACTCCATCTTGATACAAAGAAATGTGGGAATCTTCCAAAGAAAGGAAGGAAGTAATCAATTTCAAAATGAGTAACTCTATACATGGATGTGTAGATCATGCAAAGAAGCAATTTTCAGACGCAAACTGGAAGAAAGCCCTCCTGAAACAGCTACTTTCATATAAACATTGAATTACACAAAAAAAATTCTTTCGCAAACTTTTTTGTGTCAAAATGGAGTAGTAAAAGGCCAAAAACCTTCTTTCCCAAACATTATAAAGTTGTACTTCCAAATACCTACTAAAAATGTTATGCAACAAATAAACACCAATAAATTATGCAAATCGATCAGAACATACATTGTACAAACTTTCAGGAATCTTTTTTATTCTCTTCCGAATGTGAAGAATACGCTTATTTGTTTGCAAGCAGTAGCAGTAGTGATGATTCAGATGAAGACACAAAAAAACCTAGAAAAAAATTGAAAAAAATAAACGTTTTTTCAAAGGCAGTTATTGATCCCCTATTGAACCCAGATGATTTCAAAAATCATTTTAGAGTTAATAGGACAACATTTGTCAAAGTTTCAGGTAAGTCCTGATTCAAATTGTTAACTTATATAAAGCACTATTCAGATATATTTAGTTATTATTTCATTTACTTTAGTACCTACATTATGGATTTTCATCAAGAATTGGCAAATTCCATCACATATCTTTTAACTAATTTAAATTAATCATACAGGTAGTAATGTTACTTTATTTTGTTTCAGAAGTGATACAGAGTGACTTCTGTATGAAAGGAATATCACCCCAAAAAGCAGCATTAGTCTTATTATGGTATTTGGGTAATCAGGAACATTTCAAGAAGACATCTGAAAGGTTCAATATCACCATGAGTTGTGTACATAATATTATTAAAATAGGTTGTTATTTATTATCATGAAAGATATACCAATGAAATAATTCTCAATGTATTGATAACACTTCATGTGAGACTCAAACGAATGGTTTACAAAACTACAACACAAGTTTTTTTCTATAATGGCTTCTTCAGGCGTGTCTAATACAGTATTAGATATACGAGAAAAAGCTATTTTCTGGTGGAAATCGCGTTGAAGTTTTTCACCTATTTTTGTGAAAACCTAGCAAAATGTATTTTTTCATTATGTTTTCGAAGAACTAACAAATTGATATTACTTTCGAGCCTTTGTTTTTCAACAAAGTTCTTCAGTAGACCCTGATTTTCCAACAACTTTTTAATTTTCTTTCATATAGAATGGTTTACACTCTACACTATATCTTTCCAAATTTGGTCTGCCTCTCTTGAAGAACTATATTCTATTAATTTATGTATACATACTTTTTCTTCTCTTCTAGGTATCATACTCATATACCATTGTCCTATTACATCTGATAACACATTACTTCTTTTGATTTTTTCCTTTGACATGCTGCCTGCAAACATTCTTGTTAGCACACAGCATGTACTCTGTCAGTTTCTGTTTCTAATTATTTTTCTTTTCTTATGTACCTTCCATATCTACGTTGCATACATCATAATACTTTATACTAGTTAGTCAATTTTAATCGTATATCATAGGTATTTAAATGGTTCTTTTCCTCTTATATTCAATTTCTAAAAGGAATTGATGTTTCCTACACTAGAACAAAATACTTGCAAGACACGCCTACCAAGACACTATCTAAATTTTCTTTTCGGAATTAACTCATTCACTATATTAGAAGGATACTGATTACTTTCAGCTATTTCCTCGATAATTTCATATATTTCTTTGCTCAAGGTGAATGTGACCAATCTATGTACAAAAAAATGTAGCCCTACAATTTTTTGTTATTTGGAAAAATGACAATATAACAATAAGTTGTTCTAATAAATTGATGGATGTAGCCGTTTTTACGTGGTAGGAAATAATAAGTTGTTCTATAAATTAATTTAATTTCATTGTATATAAAAACATCAAGATACCCATAAAAATTAGTTCTAGTCATCTCCTGATGATGGTAACATAGTTAACAAAACGCGTGTGTGGGAAAAGTGTTTTCAATAAAAAATTCGTCTATTTCCAAGTCATTTGTAGACACTTCTGTTTTTGCAAAATTGATTTTGAACTCAACTTCTTTCTAAATTAAAAATAAATTGATGTTAATTGTAACAAAATGTATTTTAATATTGGAAATCAATTTTGTGTATCAATTCTAAGTTCAAAATTACCAATATCATCATTTTTGACAAAACATAATACATTTTAGTAAATTTTAGGTACTAGAAATTTATCTTGCAGAAAATCAGAATACATTAAGTGGCCTGCTTCTTGTGAATACCCAACCATTGCTCGGTTGTTCGAAGAATCTTGTGATCTAAAGGGTGTAATAGGAGCAATTGGAGTATCACATATAAAAATTCCAAAACCTGAAAAAAATTCTCTACTTTATATTTCCAACAATGGTTTCAACAGTGTTGTTCTTCAAGGTAAAATCTACCCATTTATTTTGCATTAAGAGTGTAACTTTTGTTTGTAGGGGTAGTTACAGTTAACAAAAAGTTCATTGATTTTTTCATCAGCGAGGAATCTGATGTTCCAGAAGTTGTTCTGAATAAATCATCTCTTCCACTGGAGGTAAAAAATGGTTTACTTGGAAAGTACTTTTTAATTGGTAAGTATTGGCAAAATAAACTTAATGTTTGGGTCCTCAATTATCACTTATAACATAACATTGGTTGAAAATGTCAAGATTTTTGTAAAAAGTTTTATTTTCTGTTGGTATTTTTTTCTATTTTTTCACCACTAGTTGTTACTGTGAATTTAGTATATAGTGACAACCTTGATTTTTACCTTGTATTTTTAGATATACATGTTGATCTATTGAAAAAAAAATTGTTTCCTTCCCATATATTATTTTTAGATAAAAATGCAATAGATTTGAGAAATTATATATTTTGCACTGATAGTTGGAACAGATTTACTTTGTCTCTATGCCTGTAAATAAATTATGAATACAGGCAGTATCATTCAATATCTTGAGGTTTTCTAACTTTATTGACAAAGAAACTTGTTATTTTCAAAATTTGGAAACTTATGAAATAAAATACATTTGAGAATTGAAATCAAAGTCCACGGGTAATTCACTCAACAAATAACATATTTTTCAAATTAGTCGAAAATACCACAACCAGCTTATTTGGTTCCAGTAGTTGTCAACCATAAAAGGCAACTCAAGCATTTCAAAATTTCGAAACTATAGAGCTCTAGGCTGGTACAAAGAATCCAAGTTATACAGACCATAATTTTCTTTAACTGGAAGTCTATTGTATGTCTACATCTACAAAACTCCAACATTATATTATAAATAGTTTTCTATGCATCAAGTCAAACAATCTATAACATTTTGAAACTGTGCAGGTCAGGTGTTGATATAAACTAGAAAGAAAACCCAAATTCTCATTTAAAATTTACATATTTTTTTTCAAAAACTACTTTCACAATTTGTAATCCTCTCTTCATAATTTAGTCTCAAGTTATTTTTAGTTATTTCACTTATTAATCTCATAGTTGAGAATATTATCATATAACAAAATGATTTCAGTCATGTAGGTTAGTTAGACTTTTGAAAAATATACTTTTCTCTAGAAGAAATCTCCTGAAAAACGATTACAACGGTAAATTTACTCTTTAGAGTCAAAAAATAAAAAACGAATCTTATACAATATCAACATATTTTATTGTTTTCTAGGACATCAAGATCATCCAAAATACTCTTGGCTGCTACATCCTTTTGATAATGATAATATGCGTTATAAAACTGGTTATTATAATATTGCAGAGGAAGCTTTTAATTTACTGAAGGGGCGATTTCAGCATCTGCAGAATATTGAGAATGGGGATGTGGTTTTGATAAAGCAACTAGTGGAAGCCACATGTGTTCTCCATAATTTTTGTATAGACTGTGAAGATGAAGAAGAGAACTTTTTCTGTCATGATTCTGCTTGACTGCTTGAGAAAAATTCAGCAATGAATGAAATAGAGATTACAACTATGAATGAAACTGAGAATAATTGGCAAACAACAAATTTTATGATTTTGAAGGGACAACCTTGAGAATGATACAAATTGTTTAGAATATGTTTTTTAATTACAATATTTGATTTAAAATGTTATGAAAAATGTACATAATTTTGATTGAAAGATATTTCAGTTTTACTTTGTAACAGAATTTTATAGGAGATTAGAAAAAAATTAATATGTGTAGTACTAAAAAGTAGAAGTTTTTCCAATATGGTCAGTGGGCATACTTGAAGACTGGTTATAAATCAAATCATCTAAAGGAACAATTCGTTCAGACAAGTTACAACTCCCTACAGTGTAGGGGTAATGAACTGGCACCTACCAGGTGATGTGAAAAGTTTTCTTTCCATATACGACGAATTGGTCAAATTTCGGATATGTGGTTGGTTACCTCGTTCACAGGCAGATAGGGCGATGAGAAACCTGTTGTTTGTTGTCCGCTTTAGCCTATTAAGTTCGAAGAATAATACTCTAAAAGAATTCAATTTTCAGTTATCGGAAATCAGTGACTTTATGTTGATGATAGACACTACCTTGCACTGACGAGTGGCCAAACAGCCCGAAACTGGTCTTCAAGTGTGTTATACTAATTGAAAATCTATTGCGGCAGTTGTATCGCCAAAAGCATATGCAGAAATAACTTCAGTGAAGAATCCTGCACTAACACCTATCGGATATAACCCAACGCCCTTCGTGGTATAAGGCAGGGGAGTAGTTGTTTTCTGATAAGTGTCAATCCATTTACCTACAGTGTAGGGAGTTGAGACTGGCCTGAACGAATTGTTCTTCTAGATGATTTGAAAAGCTAGAAGGTTGTCTGATGTCAAACAAACCCAGTGTGTCTGCGAGTTGACAAGTATCCCTTTTGTTCCATTGTGCTCAGCACTCAATTGTGATTAGATGTTTTACAGTCTAATTAAATTGGCGCAAAATGAATCTATTGTCTCTCAGAGACACTATTTTTATTCTGGTGTGGAAAAAGTGGCAAGTTTCGTTAATACATAACATGATAGTTTTCAAGATTCACATTAGAATGATATAAAGTTTTCATGATTTTTGAAGATCAAGATTTGTTATAAAACATTGCAGTTTTGGAAAAAAATAAGGTAATAACATTTTTCAGATTGTTTTTTAAAAGTATCAACTTCCTGGGAAGACTCGGTATGGTACTACATAATGAAGGGCAAACTTTTCATGTTTGAATAGAAAATAATTTCTTTTTGAACTGCCTGAAGACATTCGAACTTTTGAATAAATTTAATGATAATGAGTAAGGAGTGTCTCATTAATCTGAACTGTATATGTATACTATCAAATGAAATTGCTGTATGATAATATGTACATAAATATTTTTTAATTAATTTTATCAATATGAAATGATTCATCTACAAATATATATTTTTGTTTGTATAGTAAAGAGTGACCTACAAACAAATCGCCCTCTTTTTGAATGTTCTTATTTTAAAATAGGTAATAAATAGTACATTAAAAATACTAATAACAGAATTTATCAATAATTATAAATCTACACCAATTTTCGAAGAATATGATGTGATAGATGTGATAAATAAACAAATTTATATATTTTTTTGTCAATGAAGTTAAGTATCACTACATAAATTTGAAAACATCAGTTTGCAGACAACAGAAATATGTGACACTTACCTAACTTCTGGCATACACGAGAAATCCTTATAAAATGATTTTTTAAGGAAAGGCTATTCACAAAACTGGATTCATTTTATTTGAAGAAATTATAATGATAGAATGTCATATGTTCAAATATTAATGACTTTTTTATATTGTACATTCAAGTGTTCATTCCAATGTTTTAATATTTCTGTTAGCTTACATTAGGTTACTTTTCACTTCAAACTTTACAACTATAGAAAGGTTTATTCATGAATAGGTCAATAGTGATAAAATAGTTTTTATTGTAATTTCTTAGTACATTTATATCTGCTTATAGTAGATCATAAAAATATACAAAAGAGGTCGCTATTTTCGTATTCCTAGACGAGTAATCTAATTGATCTTTATTCTTATGTCTTTCGCAGGCGATTTACTACGTTTACGTAAAATCAAGTTGACCTTCGACAACTCCGTGAGGGTTCGTTTTATGTACATCATCTGTTCTTCCACATTATCTTTCTTTATTTTCACTGGATGTCTCTTCGAATGCGCCATATGAGTGTAGACATTCCAGATGGATGCTTTAACTTGATCAATTTCGCTCATTTTCTTCACCTGTAGATTAACAATTTCAGAGTTGGAAACAAACTCAAGTAACTCTTCAAATATATTGACAAACATGAAAACTATACAAATTTTAGCAAAGAGAAAATACCAGCAACATTCCATAATGTAAGAAATGAAATTGTGAATAAGTGAACAATGGAGAAATGAGAATTGAAACTTTCTATGTTTTTTACCACTTTTATTTGTAACTAACGTTACTGCAGTTTCGTCCTATAAGGACATTTTCAAAGGGCCAAAATATACACCAACAATAATTAATAAAAACAGTTTAGATACTTGATGATAGATACAGTTATTGCATTGAAACGGACAGATAATAGAGATATTGGGGCAAGTTATTCAGAATCATCCATTCTCTTCATTGAACTGTAAAGAAACAGGCATAATAAAAACTATACAACAAAAAATAAGACAGAATGATCTGGTTCTCACGAAACCTGATAAATCAAATGCCATCGTTATCCTTGAACATATGTTCAGAAAATTGAATCAGTCATTCAAAATGAAAACCTCCAACATACCGAATACAAATGTAAGTCCCTTGAACATTTATTGGAATAAACAAGAGTGAGTTTTGAATAAAATTTGTTTCTTAAAATTTCGGCATTTAAAATTTGTAGGAGATTCACCCTGTATGTATTCTATTAGTGATGAATGACTTCTGATTCTGAGATTATTAATTAAAAGTATCAATGTACTGACCGCATTATTCTTAATCTGAAGTACCAGCTGTTCACTTTCTAGAGATTTAATGTTGGCATTTTCAAATCTTGCTTGTAAATTGGCGATCTGGTTATTCAAACCCATGATGACGAAATTATTTTCTTCAATTAGTTTCATCTGAAATGGTCAAACTAATGAATATAAACGTATATTAAAAAAATGAAATGAAAAAAGAAAACAAACACGAAACAATTTAAAAATCTATCAAAGAACAAATTTGAGTTACCCAAGAATAAAATATCACATATTTTCACCTTCTCTAAAAGTTTTATTGGAGGCCCGAATTTAACTTATTTCCAAGCTATACTTATTATATAATATTTATTAATTTTGATAAAAACCCAGAATGTTATGGTCACAAATGTATTACTCCTGAAAATGACTATCTCAAGAGAATTATTATCAGATGCCAGATACCTGAAGGAATACAACATTTTCATCAAATATGATATCAACAAAATAAAACTATCAACTTATTAAATAAATGAAATAATGATAATTCTTGACTGCATATTATTCTTGAATGCCGGTGAAGCAACTCCACCTGCTCACCATATCACTCCTGGCATTTTCAAGAGCTTTCAAATTATCTTCTTGTAGCTGTGCCAAACTATTTTTAGCATTCAGTAGTGACAGGTAACGATTGATCATATCCTGGATACTGGTGAATTCTTCTGAATGTTCTACAACTTTATTTAAAAAATCCTACAAGTAAAGTCAATAAGATTGTATATCAGAAAGTTAACATTGGTCTTTTAATTTGGTGGAGATGCGACTTACTTCATATAGGCGATAATCTTTAATTTTTGCATCCATGTCAAATTTTGCTTGCTTCATTTCAATATAATTTAGTAAACAGATTTGTATATCGTTCCTTCTTTGCTCCTTCAGAGCTACATCATCTTTCATCTTCTTCAGTGCTCGCTCTCTTTTCTCCATGTTCTCCCTCACAAACTGAAAAAACATTCAGTATGTAGATCATAAAGCAATAGAAAATGTTTATATGTTACTGTGTATAATTTTTATCCCCATTATAACATTTGTGAGATTTCTTTTGTGTAGTGGTGAAGGATAAGACATACAAGATATTGATTATTATGTTCTAGTTGAATGGGTGTGTGCGCTTGGGTGCGCGCGTGTAAGAGTGCGTGTGTGTGTGTGTGTGATGCTTTGCTCTGTATAACTTGGTAGGTAGAATTGGAACCTCCGGCATAATATGAATATCCACACGAAAACAAAAATACTATCTGTTGCTCACTTGGTTAGCGAAACCCGCGTCGAGAGACAGTATTTTTTCTAGCCACTGTCATTAGACAGTATTTTTTTTGATTTGCTCTGTATGAGTTTAACAATGATCAATTTGAATAATCAGAATTTATACAGTAGATCAAGACTTCAAAAAGGTAAACCTACGTTAGAACTTCATTCCAACCCAAAGACTGTTGCATTTAGATATTAATTTACAAAATGTTTGAATTGGTGAATCAAATTTTGAAAAATCTGTATATGGTGTTGCAAATGCATACCTGATCGAAATGTTTAAAGTTTTCTCTTAATGATTTCTCTTTTTCATCCAATTCCTTCCACTGTTTATCGAGATTTGTTCTGGCTTCAACTAAAGTTTTTCTCTTTTGGCGAAGCACTCTTTCAGTTTTGTTCAGCTTAATTTCAAGAAGAGCTAAATTAGAGAATGGGTCATTTTGCCGAACAACATCGAATTCTGGATATAATCTGGAATATTAAAAATTGAAAGTAGAAAAAGAGTTTATATTTTTCAAAACAGTAGCTGAATTTTAAATGTTTTTTTCCATTTTGTCAATACAGGTAAACCTGTACCTATTTCAGTAAAATTTTATTTGAAACAAAGTAAATACTTACTTATCCAACTTTTCCATATTTTTTGATTGAATATAGTCCAACACTGCATCTTGAGGCTTAATTTTGGGAAAAGTGATACGGGGAGATCGTTCGTTTTTCATTTTTCCATGTGAAATTTTCATCAGAAAAAAAAATCAAAGGAAAGACCGAGAAAATCAAGATTAAATCACAAAATAATATTTACGAAAAAAAAAGTGTCAGAATTACTAACAGTTTGATGTGTTGTCATGGAAAATATCAAGAACAACAATTGTTATGGTATATCAGATAATATTCGAACAAAATCATCAGTTGACCAAGTTCAGTTTCTGATTTCATTTCAGAATTGAAGTTTCTAATTCTTCATATTTGAGAAGTATAAAGCAAAAGAGTTGTTTTCGACAAAAATAATCTTTGTCTAAAAATACTTCAAAAACTTCTATAATCTTGATATATTTATTTGCACAAAATCTAACTAAAGTAGTATCTGTTAAATGTTTACTTTAGTTTAGGTATTTTGAGTTGAAACAAAAATGTGTTCAAAAAACAAAAAAATTTACTTTTATTCTCAGACATGTATACATTATATGTATATTTACCTACTTTACAATAACCAACATTGGTAAAATGGAGCAGCGGTTGAACTATGGGCTTTCAAATCGATGATCTTTTGTTCAAATCACACCAATTGCAGTTATTTGCTTTTTTTTCAAACTATTTAAAATTCAATAAAATAACGAAAATATGACGTATTTTTTCGCAGAATGCCTCTGATTATGAAATTTAATATTCACAAATGGATTTCATTTTAAAATATTCCTGATATGTCATACAGAAAGTATGGTATTCAACTCGTGAGAAATATCTTTTACTCGAATGATTTGCTCGCCATCGGCTCAGGTCAACCGACTTCTTTTTCACTTGACTTCAATTGCCGTGTTTTTCACTCGTTGAATAATACGAGAATACTATTACACCAGAAGACTTTTGTTCGGCAGTCTTATTCTTGATTACCAGATTTACAATTACTGTAAACAAGAGCAAATTGGGAATAGCAGAGCATGTTTGACTCATCAACATAACATCAAGTGATCCCAAAATGAGATCATCCACACAGAGAAGAAAACTGCTGGTTTAGCAGGAAATTCAAAAAAGCCGCATATATATTGTCAAACAACGCTTTCGGCCAAGCTAGCGTAGATATTTGCAACATATGGAAACCCAAAATCAAGCAGAAAACGTCCAACTCCCACCAAATTGTCAGCTCCCGATTAACCGGTGAGAGGAAAGATGGGATATGTGAAAGCACTCGAATGACCTATAGTCATCTCTCAAAGGAATAGTCCAGTCACAGTAGAAAGCTAAGTATAGGTCCAGCAATCCGAAGATGATTGTGGATACTAACAATCGAAATGTCGTGAAGTAACTTGGCTTGAATTCTTTCAATTTTTATTTCTTTAATTGTTCAATTTTCAATTTTTTCTTGTATTTTATTTCATTGTAATTAAATTTCAGGGTTTTTTGCTTCATATTGTAACGAATCTGAAGCCGTCCCTGACCGATACGCCAGGCGACTCATCGAACAAACACGGGACATCACCGCGAAAGAAGCAGCCTGAAACCGCCGGTAAAATTCTAGTCGAGTACCGAACCGTCTACAGAATTCTCGAAAGGACCTTTACCGATATAAGCCTGTCTTCCCGACCTAAGAGGGCAGTTCAGAAAGTGAATCGAGCGGCTAAACAAGAAATTCAAATAGTGGAAATAACTTAAGCGTTAGTTGCTAAGTGTTGTAATAAATAAATTAGTTTGTGATAATTGAAATATTGGTGGAAATAAATTTGTTGAAGACAGTTAATTCATGAATTTACCACAATATAATTTTTATTTTCAGCTATTCATTTTGATTTTCAATTTTATTGGTTCTTTCAGGGATTTTAAATCATTTTATATCATATTAGACAATAAAAGTCCGAATTAATGGAATTCACCATGAAACATTGTTAAATCACCTTCAAACAAACTGTGTAAACTTTTGATACTCATTAATTTTCAAAGTTTTTAAGTTGAAAGAAATATTTCAGATGAAATGAGGAAGACAACACTGTAGATTAAACAGAGACCATTGTCTGAGACCATCATCATATTTGCCGTTTTTTGGGATTATTAACCGCCGTTTAGTTTGATCGAGATTCTCAACTTTTTCGCCAGTAAGTGATTCAGTGACGGATCTAGCGTGATTTTCAGGGGAGCATAATGAAGAAAAGAAACAGAATATTTCTGATGTTTGATATATAATCTACCAATGTTGATTGACTTTTTCAAACTCTTGAAATTTTGAATTTTCAAATATATATAGAAATACGGGCTGAGATCATTATTTATCGTAGTGGAGAGTGCGACTGAATGAATGTGTTTATTCTATAGAAAATATCTTAATATACATACAATATATAAAATGTACCATTAGAAATGACACAGTGATCTACATCTAATGGTAGAGAACTAAAATTTCATCACTACTATATTACGTTACTACTAACTGAATTATTACATTACAATGAAAAAATGGTTCTATCATTTTATACTGTGACATCATTATTGAGGAAACAAGGGCGACTATTCGAGTTTTGTTTTCAAGTAATGGTTTATTTTCGATTTGAATGTTGATAAATGGTTCACTGAAGTATGGCATATTCCCAACAAGATTAAAAACCTCCATTGTGAAGCCAATCTTTAACAAAAATGATCCAGAGAGCCTAGAAAATTACCGACCAATATGCATCCCTCCGTTATTAAAAATTATTCGAACTAGCAATGTCAGTGAGAATTATAGAGTTTATGAATCAATGTAACTTATTTAGTAGGCTTCAACATGGATACTTACAGGGTAGATCAACACAAACGGCCATATATCAATTCACACAAAATATAACAAACATGATGGAAGAAAAATTGATAGCTCTCGGGATGTTTTTGGATTTATCCAAAGCATATGACTGCTTGAATCATCAACTAATGTTAATGAAATTAGAAACATATGGAATAAGAGGTTCAGCGCTAAAGTGGGTTGAATCCTATCTATCAGATCGCCTTCAATCTGTAGAAATAAAACGAAATGGAAGAGTCTATAAATCCGAAACCATTCCCACAGACGTGGGAATTCTGCAGGGGAGCATTGCCGGCCCTCTTTTGTTCGTCATTTATTTGAACGACTTATGTAATCTAAACCTAAACCAACGTCAGTTCAAAACTATCTTCGCAGATGTTAGAGCCCTATGATTTGAACGCATATCTCACTGGAACATTCATTTAAAAATATTTATAACAAAAAATCTGTACCTTCTTGTTTGACGCCATTTCATTCTATGTTACCGACCTTTTGCAATAAAAATTTGTAATCTACTCTGAAATAAAGCTGTTTATTATTATTATTATAGGCAATTATGAAACAAAATTCTTATTGTGGAAGGCAGGTTACATGTGGTAGGTGAAAATTATTAACTTGTTTTGTTTCATCATTATGAGTATTGCAGTGATAATTAATGAATTCTCTGAAAAGATAAATAACACTGCTGATCTGTACAATCTATCTCGAACTGATAGTCACTACAATGAGTCAAGCATAACTGCTATACTAGAATACATTTAAAAATCACTATCATACCACGATTCTGTAATTTTTGCAATGTTCATATCTGATTTTGATTCAAACCATATAACCATGAGCTTATTCATAAGTCAAAATTAGTTTGTATAATAGTATTACATTGTATATATTGTTATCTTGGCCGCAATTGATAAATGCTTAGAGATTCTTGTGAACCATTTTTTTTAATCTTTTATCATAAGGTATTTGACATGTTCATTGAAAGATGAACTATATTCCACCATAAGAGGACTGAAAAAATCTAGTTTACAAATATACTCTTCTCACCTATATATTCCCTATGGAAGTATTATTTAAATGAAGAATATTTTTCATCCAGAAAGCCTTTGAATGTTCTGAAAACACATGGAACTATCATTGGAAAAACTGATGTGTCCCACAGGGGGTATAATCTCCTTTGTATCCGCCAGCAAAGTGATTGGCATTTCAAGAAGTACAAAGACTGTACCAGGATTGTATTTTCAAACAGTTATAATCTAGAGTGCACCTTAAATATCTTCTGATGCATATACATTGAAAACACAAAGTTCTACAAGGTGTTTTCTTTGGCAAACATTTTTCGATGTGAGCTTCATCAATCTTAGTGTCTTACATAAAAAAAAATAAAGTTTATACAGTTCAACTTTCATCAAATTGTCAAAATGAATAAATTGTTCAGGCCAGTCTTCCCTTATCTACAGTTGCATCATCAAAATCATATGCAGGAATTGTTTCTGAGAATTCTGCACTGAAACCTGTCTGATATAATCCAACGCCCTTCGTGGTATTAGCCAAGGGAGTAGTTTTTTCTGATAGCTGTCAGTCCATAAGCCTTCGGTGTAGGTAAAGGATGACTGGATTTTATATAGAATAAAATAGTCTGGAGAATGATATTTCTAATTAGAGGTTATATTTTTGTGAAACTTGAAAAATATAAATTGAGTTTGGGTTGTGAATAAATAAACATATAACATACTGTTATATAAGACTGTTGATGTAGTAGAGGTGTTAGTTAAAAAATACAAAATATGCCATCTAGTTGTGAGGATTTTTCTTATACTATAACATTTACTTATGTGTTGGTTGTCTTCACCCCTATCTTGCTCGGATGCCCATCGATTGTGCAAAAGCACTAAAACATCAGAAATGCTACCATAAATATAACACAATCATGCTCGTTATAAATGTAGTCTTTTGAACATTTTCCAAATCAGAATAAGATTGAAATAGATACAATTTGTGGAAAAAATTGTGTATTCAATTATTAAGTGAAGTGAGTTAGTGCACCTGTAGAAAAGAGGTATATATTTTCGAGATTTTCAAACTACTTTCCATGAAAGACCATTTGATATTAGGATGTTTTTTGTTTTCTGATTGCTACTAGAAAATAGCACAATAGTGATTCAAGAGCTGGGATTTCTGAATCATCAAAACCTCTCACTGCTTGTGGGATCTTCTCTCTCTCTTTATCTCTCTCACACAGTTCGTGAGATCTATGTGCTAAGTGCAAAACCTATGGTTTGGTGAAGCCTTACACTTCATGTGTTTTTAACTAGTTCCATTAGAAGGACAGGCCTTTTCTGATAATCTTAATTTTTCGTCTTCTATTGAAACTATCTTCTCGTTAACAAGTTTGCACTGCAGCAGATCTTTTTTTATTATTTCAAATTGTTTAGCATAATTATTTTTATAAATTGTTGGTAATCCCTTCCTATCGCAAATATCCTTATAGATTTGCCAGCATGAATCTTTAACGGCTTCTATTTCACTCAGCTTTTTTTGAGTTTCCAGTATTACAATGTGGTGAATATTCTCCCATTTTTGACAATTTGAATGGGCTGCCTCATAGCATGCCTCGATATCAGAGAGTTCAGTTTTCAAACAGGCAATTTTAACGTATTTATCAGCTACCAGTTCATCCTGAAATGAAAATATTTCATTACAATCCCTTTTTTTCCAAAAAACGGTTATACCTCTGGGTACTGGAAACATACATTTTTGCAGGTTGGATGCAAGTAAGGCTGGGATTGGAAATTTTATAAATAAACTGAATGGATATGATATCGAATACAGTCTAAAACTCTAAACTAATAATATGGGTACCTTCATAGTTATTACTGTAACAAATTTTATAAAATGTTCTTAGAATAATATGGAATAGTCTACTTTTCATTCATGGGAAAATCTGTAGCAGGTTCAATACTGTCTAAAAAGTCAATAGTGATATTGAATTAAAATATACTATAAATGAAAGTAAAAATATCTGTAAAATTGGACTTTAATGATTTTGACCATTTAACTGAAAAATAAATGATGTTAGATTAGTTGCATAGACAATTGAGTAGATGCTGAAGCAGTCACTTACTGTAGTGATCGAATCTTTTTTAACTTGTCCGATAAAATGTTGTCAACCATACATTACTTTCGGGAAAATTAGAAAAAAAAGTTTTCGTGGTTTTGTGTTTAAATAATTCAAAACATACTTGACCAGTAGAATTTATCAAGTGAATGGAACCTCAAGTAAAGAGAGAATATTTGTGTATGGTGTGCCACAAGTTTCTGTGTTGAGTCTGATTTTATTTAATATTTATCCCAATGATCTATTTAGTTCAAAAACTGAAGGGAAAATTCATTCTTTCAGAAAACAAAATATATTCCATTCTCTTGTCAAAATTCTTTGTTGAATTTAGGACCCCTGAATATTTGTTTTAATGTAAAAATAAACCAATTGACTGTGTCAAATTTTTGGGAATAATAATTGATAAACATGTGAAATGAAATGATGACTTCAAACTACTTAATTACTTAATAAAATAGAAAACTGGATTATTGAAACTCCTAGACATTTTGTTTATGCTGTAATTTAAACTTTCAAAATACAATATTCATTTGAAACAACTAGATGATTACCTAAAAAGTATTATGGTTGACCTTACCACACGTAGTTAACTTCAAAAGGTTGTATTTGTCCACTTATTGAAAGTAATACCATATATCGATAAATTTCAATTTTTGAACGAAAACATATTCAGCAATAACATGAGAGCAATTAGCATGCTAATAAAACCCCAAGTCCATAAGACAGTGAAACTGTGTTTTAACAGAATTTTGAAGGAATTTATCATTCAAATAGATTGTAATTATACTTTTTATGTATATTTCATTAAATGAACTTCATTATTATTATAACTACAATTAATATAATTTAATTTTTTTATATAGAGAGTAGATACGCTGGATGTACCTCTGCATTGTATATAAACAGGATAGGTAAAGGCATGATTCTTAGTTTGATGTACATTTGAATTACGGTGATTGCTGTTTTATAAATTGGTTTGAATCCTTATTGTCCTTTTGTATTGTTTGATGTTGGTAGTTTTTTCATCAGCTGATCTATGTGGTTACTTCAGATTGATTTCTCATTAAGAGTTATACCCAAAAGTTTGATTCTCAAGTGACTCCAGTGTTTTTTACTGGTAGTGAAACTGAATGTTTTATGTTTTTGTTGGTTTGTCTAACATATTTGCCTGAATTATTGATCAAAACATATATTGAAAGTGTAACTGATTGCTGTCATGGAAGTAATTTAAGGAAATATATAAGAGGGAGTTCTTCATCAACACAAGGGAACCCAAAACGACCTAACCAGTTTGGGTGGTTTTCAGTGTTATTCATTTAATTATTCAGCGATCGAGAAACCTTTTCATTTCCAATTTATTCTTTTTTGTGGGTGACACAAATTTCTTTATTCTTTCAATATCAGTCGACACTTGCTCTAGAAGTCCTGGATGGTGTATGGGCACTAAGGGTTCTTCATTATACTTCACTATATAACCAATTCAGTTGGAGCTATCTATGTAACAACACTTTTCACAGTCTTTGGAGGAAGGTAGCTGGTTGATTACCTTGAGTTGTTAGTTCGTCTCATTCAATCCATGCTAGGACGCACGTTAAAAAGTAAGACCTTACTAATCCTCAACTTTCACAAGTTTGCATCTTTGAGCATTCTTGTTCATGAGGGGACAACCGCTAGTTAACAAAAAAAATAGATTTGCAAACAGTCTCATTTATAACACTTTGAATAGCTACAACTGCAAAACATAAGAACCAAGAGTACAGTATTTCATCAACATAAAATTATTTCTAATGAAATTACTGATATTTCACTTTGAATTATTCAGTCATCCATTTTATTTCCAAGTGATAGTGTTTGGAAATAGACAGCACGCATCTTAGCAGATTTTTATTTCAGTAAAATATTTAAGGATTGGGCACTTGATATACGACAATCAATTTGTTTTTGTACTGGATGTATAGTTACCAGGAAAGGTAATGGGATTTGTACTCTCCGGTATAGTAATGAATCATTAAAAACAGGCAATGCTTACAAAATTGGTTTTAAATTTTTCTAGTCGTTGCATATCCATTTCTTGCATACGTAGCAATTCTGCTTGAGCATCCATAAGTGCTTCATACCTCATGAGTATATCTACAACATCATTGAATTCATTTGGAACACTGTCAACAACCTTACTCAAAAAATTCTGAAAGATTAAAGGAATAGAACTTCAATACTATCATTATTCTCATTACAATTTATGTACCTCATAAATGTTCATCTTGGCTATACACTTGTCCATAGTCTTCTTTAGTTCTTGCATATGATAACATTCACCAGCCATTTCATGTATTTTTTGCACTCTTTCCTCTCGTATCTCTTTCATTTTATCAATTTTTTGCAGAGCTCTTTCTCTTTTTTCTATATTTTCATGTACAAACTGCAAATTGAAATTAATGATGGAATTGGTCTACACGTGATGAAAATCCATGGCGTAATCAAGTAACACTTTATTGTGAGATTTTCACGTGACACGTTTTTTGCTATAAAATAATTTCCTCAGGAGCGTTAATTCATATAAAACCACCTGACAAAAAAGTGTACCTTGAATATAAAAATTTTAAATGAATTCATGCTTGATGAGAATCGATCATTTGGTTTATTATTTCAAACATTTCAATTTCATCTTACATTCCAATCAATTTACCTTACTAAAATATATGAAGTTTTCTCTGAAATGATCTTCTTTCTCCATGAGATCTTTCCATTGCTCCTCCAGATTCAGTCTCTGTTTGTCAGCCAATTCCCTTCTATGTTTCAATCTCTGTTCAGAATCTACCAATTTTTTCATAGCAAAGTGATGTTCTATACTTACATTTCTATTGATGTTGTCCTCAGATGGAACTCTAAAATTGAGGTGAAGGTTAATAGGCAAATAAATAAACTTCATACTACTTCTTCCTGTGGGTCATCAATTTCGATAGAAAATAATCTTGACATGCTTTGTAATTAGATATCTTTGGAAAAGTCAAAGCTACATTTGATTGTAAGGTAGATTTATCTCGATGTTTAAGCTCCATTATTCTTGTTTAATAATAAATTCCTGTATAGCTATAAATCTTGTCAAATTCAAACTTTGTTTATTTTGACTTGACTTTGGGAAAACAAAACTTGTAATTTAAGGTGCGTTTTGTTGGCAATAATCTTATTCCAAATTAAATCTTCTCTCTCTCTCTCTATTTTGGATGGTCGTTGCTTCCTATTTTCAGGCGCATTTGACCAATGCTCCTCCTGTTACGTAACTGTCTGTTACATAACAAAAGCTTCGTCGGGGGACAAAGACTGTCTTGCAGTTTGCAAGTCTGTGTCCGAAATGAGGTCTACTCTTCTTGGAAATAAAACTATTGTCTTCTTCATAAAATAGTATTGTTGCGATCCCACTCCCACGTAGACATCCGGTCCGCCCGGCCTCCAACCGGCGTGAATGGGAGCAGGTATTATAAATATTTTACACAAACACAAACAATTTTTATTAACACTATTATTTTTACCATTGCTGGCTCGTTATAAAACGGCTAAATCTTCTTCAGAAATCATCCACTAAAAGTTAGTCGCTTTTTTGAGATTAAAATGGCTGTCACAAAGTTTATTGCTGTACTTTTTGGTCACAAATGCCGTATATAATCATGGTCGAAGTTTGTCAATTTTGAGTAATGCACAAATTATAAGAAAAATATTGCCAAAAAGTGATTGAAAGTGCCTACTTATCAATTTCTTCTTTTTTTTTCGTGACATTTGCGCATACGCAGTTTCCTTTTCAGTACCATTCAATCTCTTTAAAAATGTGACGACACTCACATAAATAACATCAATGATGACTGTTGAAATATTAATTGAAAGAATTTCAATAATAAATTCTACAAAAAGGATTTGAAGAAGTACTACCAACTGTCGAAAGCGCTCGCAGATAATTAATAGAAGATATAAAGCTTCAAATCCTTTTTGTAGAATTTATTATTGAAATACTCAAAATAAAGGAAAATTAGTTGCATCAATCAAAATAATTGAAAGAAATATAAATAAACGTCACGCAGCTTGTGAGATTTATGTAATAATAAAAATTTTGCAGGAATTTATTGATGAGTATCTCGTTTATATGAATAATTTTACGTTTTATCGATTTTTCAGATGTTAATGAAGACCTTGTTATTTTTTTTCAAATAATGTGTGGAATTTTTTTATGAATGAATACTGTGATGGTTTTTAATAAGTGATTTTATTTTGAATAGGCAAGGCTAATATATAATAAGATATAACTTAGAAGCTAAGATCATAATAGTTTTAACTCGTTCGATTGATGACTTATTTATTTTGTAGAAATTCATGTTGAATATAGAATAAAGAAAATACTTTTGTCTAGTTTCTACTGTGTTTATTTATTCGTTACGACCGGTTTCGGCTTATAAGGCCATTTTCAAGTAACTACCACAAATTGTCAAGTTGCGTCTTAGATAGTGTGGACAGGTATCTGCTCTAGGTACCTGACCTAACACGTTACCAGAATTACAATATGTCACGATTAACAACTATTGGATGGATCCTAAAATTCCTAAATTCAAAAGGGGCGAGCTGCATAGATCTAGTTGGTCGTTGAGCGTTATGAACTTGGAGTCCTTGTACAATTTATTTATTTCCAACGCTTCCAATAAATTCATCCCCCTTCATTTGTTACATGTATGAAGAATTTTCATGTTTCCTTTATTTTTTGTATGGTTTGTTTTTTTTTAGATGTCCATATAAGGCTGATTTTGTATCTGATAATACATGTTCTCGGTATCTTATGTCGAAGTTTCTGCCTGTCTGACCTGTATAAGCTGCTGGGCAGTCCCTACATTCTAGTCTGTATATGCCCGATTTTTTCCATTTATTCTTTTTGGGTTCTGCGTTGAATAACATGTTTCCTAAATTATTCTTATTAGAAAATGATGTGCTTATGTTGAGTTTTGAAAAATAGTTCTTTATATTTTCTGAGAGCTTCCCTGAATAACTTATGCTAGCATATTTTTTACCTTCTTTATGTTCTTCCTGATTTAGTTATAGTTCCTTCATGATCAATTTATTGTTCTTATTAGAGATCAGTTTTTCAATTAAGTTGAAGAGAATATGGTTGTTATATGCTATCTGCTTTATAATCTTAATTTCTTCTTGAAAAGCCTCCTCTGATGACGGTATCATAAATGCTCTATGTATCATAGATCTGAAGGCAAGCAAATTATCGGCCTTCAGATCTATTATATTATATTACTATTATTATACATTGCTCGAATCTGTTTCCGGCAGAATTTGTTTGTTGAAGAGAAATTCATTTATACAATGTATTTATCATACAAAAGAAGGCTATGCAGATGCTCAAAATCAACATATCACTGTAAACTAATTGATTTAAAAATTGTATTATTGTTTTCAGTCACGGCACGCTTTTCAAACACTTGATTGAATCAGGAGTTACCTGAAGAAATGACCAAAATTTCGTTCAGTAACATTGAAATTTCATGTTGTATATCTATATTGTATATTCACCTCAAATACATATCGAATTTCCCCATTCTTTCTGATACTTCTACTGGTACTTTACTGAATATTCATGTTTGTTTATCTGATGAAAAGGAAGGAATGATTAGGAACTTTTTTCTCTTCAATTCGGCTGTGTGGAGTAGGATGTGCTGAATTATTTTACATTTTTTAGACTTATCTATAAACTGTATTCATTCTATATGTTATTTTCGAAAGTAAATGACAGTTGACAGAAGAATACAATATATGCATTTGAATATTATCAAATGAAAAACAACGAATCAATATTTCATCAAATGAATAAAATCAATAGGAAATAATAAGATCAGATTATTGGGAATGAATTTCAAGTATCTGTCTTTTATGAACTCTGCAGAATAACGTTATGATTTTGTAGTGAAGGAAAATAATTTTCAATTGTCAAATGCACTGATAATTACTAGATATTTCCATTAAATTTTCCAAAAAACTGTTGCCAGCTGAGGATAAGTTGATCGTATTGATGTTTATTTTTGACTTTTTTGCTATAAAAAGTCAAAAAAACTGATGAACTGTTTCTTTTGTAGACAATCAATGGCAATTTATCTATTAGTAGCAGCTACTGTCTGCAGACGCTACCTCAGAGGACGCTACTTATTCCATGTGTCATATCATGCTGTCCCATTGAAGAAGAAGATTCAGAAGTCATACAACACTGTCCACTTTCTGTTCTCCCTGAGTGGCTAGTTCCTATTTCACTTCATTTCTTTCTCTTTAAGTTGACTTGTGTGGCATACACGTTTCGTGTCTTGAAGACTTAAAAGTAAGTAATTTTGAAAAAATATTAACTTCACATTCATTTTGATTATTATTTGTTCTTGCATACACATTTTTCCAATCAGATTGAAGTTAAGTGATTCAGATTTTTACGGATTAAGATAATGTTAGGTTAATGAGTATATTTATGTGTGGAATCATTGAAATGTTTTTAATTTTTTATTTAGATGCGTTACGTGGCTGCTTATCTTTTGGCCGTTTTGGGCGGAAAAACTTCCCCATCTGCTGCTGATCTTGAAAAAATTTTAGGATCTGTAGGAATTGAAGCTGAAGGAGAACGGCTGAAAAAGGTCATTGCTGAACTAGGTGGAAAATCTATTGATGAACTCATCGCCCAAGGTTAGTACCATGCTTTATTATCAAAGTTAATTGATATTTAAAGGGTATATTCTTAGGAGAGATTTTTTTTTTGGGAAAGAAAGTTTTTTGGTCTACTTCTAAATCTTGATACAAAAAATGTGGGAATCTTCCAAAGAAAGGAAGGAAGCAATCAATTTCAAAAATTAACTTTATATAAAGATCTGTTGATCACGCCAAGAAGTAACTTTTAGACACAAACTGTAAGAAAAAACCCTCACGAAACAGCTACTTTCATATAAACATTGAATTACAGGAAAAAAAAAATACTTTCGTAACAAAGACTTTAATATGAAAGCTGAATTATCAAAAACACTTCTTTATTCCATTTGTTTATATAAGCATTTGTGTGAAATGAAATCAGATATCATTCACAGGATTCCTACACAATATAATTAATGAAAGAAGAAAAATTTCACTTACATGGAACACTATTATCCTCACTGCTAGACATCTGATGTTTCCTGTAAGACACTTGCCCCTTCGGCTCCAGTAGCAGAGACGGATGTCTAGCAGTGATGACACTGTTCCATGTAAGTGAAATGTTTTACTTTTCATTTATTATATTGTGTAGGAATCCTGTCAAATATATCTTGATTTGATTCCATACAAATGTTTGGTATACAAACTAAATAGAGAAAAGTATTTGTCGTATAATTCAGCGTTCATGTAAAAGTATATCTTTCAAAAGTATTTTTCTTTCATGTTATTCAATGTTTATATGAAAATAGCTGTTTCGGGAGGGCTTTTTCATCCAGTTTGTGTTTGAAAGTTACTTTGCATGATCAACACATCTTTGTATGGAGTTAATTTTTGGAATAGATTGCTTCCTCACTTTGGAAGATTCTCACATTTTTGTGTCAAGATTGAGAAGTAGAAAGCCAAAAACTTTCTTTCCCATTTATTGATATATACTAACATTAAATATGTTCTATGGTTCTCGTGCTTTAACTTATGTTCAACATTTTGAGGGCACCTATTTACCCTTGAAATTGTGTAAATATTCGCATTGTTGCCAGCACAGGATTTTAAAAACACTTTTTTGTACTGAAAAATGATCACCACATTTCCTTTACACATTGTTTCATCTTGCTTCATATTTTTTTTTTTGCGCAAATTCATCTTTTTTCATGTAAAAAAAAATATTTTTAGTCAGAGCTGTTTTAGTTTATTGTGCAATTTACAAATTTGAGATTATTCATTTATGTTGGTCACCATCACATCACTGGAAACCACAGTGTAAATTTTATCAACATTATCAACGGTAATTACTAAGAAGTCATTATTTGAATAGAAATATAGTGTGAAAAGGAGGCTGAATTGTCAGTATTTGATTAGTCTAGTCTTTCATCTTATGAAAGAAGTGATGAAGGGAAACTTTTCAAAGAAGAAACTGTTTTTTTATTTTCACTGAAGGATAGGACTAACCAAATTTTCAATTTCCACACGTCTTAAAAAATCTTGGACTTGAAAAATGAAGTTGGATATGTAGTATGTTACAAAAAATGGGAGAATGTAAGCGTTCTTCAAGTTTAAAGAAGTTTGTATGTAATTTTTTTCATTATTCATGAGTTTTCATAGAGAAAGATTATTTGGAATATTTTTACATAGGGTCATTTTTGTAAAATTTATACTGTTACCATTTTTGAGTTTTCATTTTGAAAAGTAGTGAAATATTTTAAATATAGGATAGAGTAACTAACTTTTGCCTAATTTCTATTTAATGTAAAAATTAGACAATAATTATTTTTTCTGTACTATATTTAATATGAATTCACAAAATGAATAGATCATCAATCGAACAAGAAAGATTTTCCTTCTCTTGAATATTCACAATGCTATGGTTGCCATGCCGAACTAGCACTTGTTAAATACTGTGCAATCTCTACATCACTCCATGCATTTGGGATCAGTTATGCTGCACAGTGAGTTTTATTGTTTCACAGCATAATCTTTACACTCAAATTTCTGTGAAGACTGTTTGAAGTCACTTCAGAACTCTCGAAGCAAAATAGTCCATTGAAGGGAAACCACTTTGGACTCATATGGTACTCAAAATTTTAATTTGTTAATTTAAATACTACTCGTGTTATAATACCACAGTTTTCAGTATTGTTTATTAACATTAAAACATGATGATTTTAATAATTACCATCTTTCGTATGAAACATGCTGATTTTAAGTTTCTATCTGATATCTACTAGAAAAAAGTAATGAAACAACACTTCTATTTCGAAATTGTCATATTTTTTACATTTATAGGACGTGAGAAATTGAGCTCCATGCCAGCTGGAGGAGCTGCTCCTGCTGCTGCAGCAGCTTCTGCAGCACCAGCAGCCGCCGAAGAAAAGAAAGGTAAGTTATTGAAATTTTATTTAACCATGAAATTATGTGTTATACACGTTCTAACCATTTTTTTTTCAAACAAATAACATTCAGAACGTCTGGACAAAATTTCACCATTTGGAGATTCTCTCTTCCAAAGAGCAACATGTAACTTTCAATTTTTTTTTGTAACTACAGTGAACTGTTTTTTCCATGGGCTAATAATTTAAACAAATAATCCTTTATACTTATTGTGGCATATGCAAAATATGACAAGTTTTGAGGAATGATACAAACGATAGAAATTCAAATAGACAAAAACATTCCATTAAAAAATTTGTAAGTTGGAAGGGAGGTATGCATGGGTGGTGTCAGTAAATATTTATGTGCACTTTGAAAGCAGTCCATTTTAGTTTCAACTTATTAGATATTGAATGAAATTGATGTAGTCTATTTTGACGTTTTGTGAAGAGATTCATCAGAGAAATAAAGATTTTCAAATGTCATATGGTGCTGTATTGGAAAAGTTATAACAAAAAAGGTATTATGAAAGTGTTATTTTGGTATTATAGAACTAAAGACTAGTTTCAACGTAAGTCCAAAGGTTTATCTATAGAGGCCACTTTTTTCACTTGTAAAATTCTCAATAATTTCGTAACAAGCAAAATTTAATATTTTCTTGGCACTTGCAAAGAATATAGCAAAAGTGAATTATTTTCTACTGTTTCCACTGATATTATATGAATTGGAACTTTGTGTGAGAGGGCCAGCATTGAATAGGATTGTTACTTACTTACCTTAATGGTCATAGCTAAAGAGTATATCAGAACAATACCTTCTCGGATATTCAATACATATCGACATGCGTACCTCAGGGATCAGTACTCGGGTCTCTGCTGTTTATTTGTTTTATCAATGACCTTCCGACTTACTGTTCTGCTGCTTCTCTATCGATTGTGTATGCAGATGATACCAATCTTGTTATATCAGCTGATAGTATTCCCACTATGCTTAGAAGTGTGCAGAAGGCTACAAATCAACTCTCAGAGTGGTTCTCAATATAACCAAAACTCAAATTTTGTTACAAAAAAATTCTTCAATAGAGAGCATCCACTTAGTGAAACTGAACAACACATCAGTTCAACAAGTGTGTGACATAATATACCTAGAAGTCAATATTGATTCTAAACTCACCTGAAGCAATCACGTTGAGTATATAAAATTCAAGCTTAGTGAACACATATTTCTACTCTCTCATGAAGTCTTGAAACTGGTATATTTTAGTCTTATTCAGTCTGACATCTGCCATGAAATAATTCATTGGGATGCAACATCCAAGGTACAAGAAATATTTGCCATTCAAAAAAAGCAGTAAGGTTAATGATGGTGGTATGCCTGAAAGAACACTGCAAGCCACTCTTTGTTAAAATTGGTATAATGACTACCAGGTTTGTTTATATACCACTGCATTGTCTATGTACCCTATAATGCAGATGGTAGAGTTGTTCACAGGTTTACTTGACTTGTAGATGAGGCAACATTGTAAAATGTATTTAAAGTCAATAGGAAATGTTCCTCCTGACGAAAATCAAGTAGTTTTCATAAAAGAGCTCTAAAACAACGCATTTTAAACTTATCATTTCAACCTTTTTCTTTAAAAAATTATTTGAATACTTAAAAAAGAGGAATGAAATAATGCATTCAACATTTAAAGGGATTCTTTTCTATTTCACCATTTGGCAACATCGGTTATAGCTAATAAAGGACAATGAATCTGTTACCTGTATGAGACAAACAAAGATGACATATTTCAGAGGCGTGCTGTTTACTTATGTTCCGAGTTCCGAGACATTCTGTGACATATTACATTTTGCGCACCTAACCTATATTCCTCTATATAAAACAACTGTTCTTTATGTGTCTTGTGGAGGTGGTATTGAACTATAATTTATATTTTGCCTTAATTGTTGATTTATAAAGATAATTTTCCTTTTTTAAAGTAGAATATCTAGGTACCTATAAACTATTTCAACTTGATATAGGCGCTGTTGCCAATATGTTTATTTATTTTTTTAATGAAAAATTTGACATCTGTTTCATACTAGACATTTCAATGGTATGAGAATGTTGTATTATTTAAAAATTGAAAAAAATGTGCTTTCCAGTTGAAAATATCTTTCAATTATTGGATGATGAATATCTAAAACACCATCTTTCGCCTGAGAAAGTAATGCTGCAACCTTAGAAACTGAAGTTTATTTCTCATTAACATTTATATTTGTATAATGTATTAGGACTGATTGAATATCATTTATTTCAGAATCCAAGAAAGAAGAGAAAAAAGAGGAATCAGAATCAGAAGATGACGACATGGGTTTTGGTTTATTCGACTAAAAATGTACATTTGTATCGTTAAGATTCCAATTTTTTTTTAAGTAAAACTAAAAATTAATGTACAGACCTTTGATTTTTATCACCAGTTCCTGGTAGGTTGCTTACTGGGGACTTGTCTCCATATACATTGTAGATATATCTTCCTAGAACTTGACCCCCCCATCATTTGTTTACATTTATTTTTATATGATGGAATTGGCCAATACTTGATGAAAATCCATGCGTAGTATGGATGCTTGAGGAGGCTATTATGGGAAAGAAATGTTTTGACTTTCTACTTCATCTTTTTACAAAAAATGTGGGAATCTCTCAAAGAAAGGAGGTAGACAATTAATTTCAAAATGAACTCTATAAAGATGTGTAGATCATTCAAAGAAGTAAATTTCAAATGCAAACTGGAGAAAAGCCTTCTCGCCACTACTTTTATGTAAACATTGAGTCACAAGAAGGAAAAAACATTTTTCATATTCCCAAAAATTAATCTCTCCTGAAAACATATCCCTTCCAATTAGAAGCAATTATATAACAAAACGTGTTGCAGTTTTTGTATACTGTCCAGTGAAAATCTTGCAATAGTGTTAACTTGAATAATTTATTTTCAGTTCTATCTGTATACCTACTATTATACAGTAGATATATGGTTAATAAACTTACATTATTATTATAGTCACGATATAAACACGTTCAATGCCTACCTATATTTAAAATTTTTGTAGCAGTGCCACTATCGTATATAATGTATAGTGGAATTTTATTAAGACAGTTTTATTAAACTACCTATATTAAATGATGAAAGAAATTTTGTTTATAACTAAATTGAACAAATGATACACCTATGGGTGTAAGTAGGAAACTAATGCAAATTTCAAATAAGATGTTAATTACATCTATAGGTGTTCAAAGAAACACTCGGAAGCTCTTTCACAGGAATCGCAAACAAACAGTGGCAGTTATTTTTTTTTTGATTCTGCAAATCAATCGATCAAAAATGTACTTTATTGTCAAAGAAAAAAAATCTTATTATTATTAATAAGATTTTTTTATAGATATTAATAATAGATATTTAAGCTTTATAGCTTAAATAAATGAAAAAACCAGTCAATTCACAGTAACAATGGAACAATATAGATTCTAATGCTATATGTAGACAGGACATAAGACGTGAGTAAAAATTCCTTCACACGTTTTCGGAATGTTTTTGACTCTACTATACTTTTCATTTCAAATGGCAGATGATTGAATATCTTCTGACTCTCAAATATTGTGGAATTTTTTGTTGATGTTGAAGTTGGCTTTGGCAGAGGTATATTGGTATTTTGCCGGGTGTTACAAATTCTTCTGAAAGGAAAAGTATTTTTTTCTCATTTGAATTAGACACACTGTTTCTAGAATGAAGATGCAGTAGATTGTTAGTATTCTACTCTTTATGAAGAGTGGTCCAAACGCTTGGTTCTACGTATACACCTTATCGCCCTTTTTTGTAGAACAAACACTGATTGCATCAATTGCTTGCTACATAAACCCCAGAAAGCGATACCATACTTCAGATGAGACTCTACTAATGAAAAGTAAGTTGTTTTTGCTGCTACTATTCTCAACTCCTTGGTGATGACTCTGATAGCGTAGCAGCCAGATGCAAGTTTTTTGTTGAGATGTTTTACGTGTTCATCAAACTTCAGGGTATTATCAATCCATAATCCCGAAAATTTGGTGCACGTCTTATTTTCGATGACATGCTTCTGAAGGCTTAGAGGTTTCCCAAAACAAATTTAAACGAGATTATGTTAGTTTTATTCACATTGAAACATAAAGAATTGCAATCACACCAAGATTTGACTTCTCTAAATCAGTTTCAATTATATTTCTCAGAGAGTCTGTATTATTTCCATGCCATAGTAAAGTTGTATCGTCTGCAAACATTGTAAACTGTCCTTGTATTTTCCTTATCTTGTATTTGTTCCTTATCTATTCACATAAGGAACAAAATGGGACGGAGCACTGATCCTTAGGGGTAGGTAGGTAGGTAGGTTTAAAGTGAGTGGGTCTATTCGACCCTCCACCGCAACCCATAAGGGTTTATTGTGGCTCACAGCTGTTCACACTCTGTCAAATAAACCCAGCTTCTTAACGAAGCCGATCAGTTTGTATGGTGAGTGGTCTTTCAGGTCAGATGGTGAGAGTACGGATCTGCCGAACTCAAAGAACCTGATTCGGTAACCAGCGGGGCAGGCACAAAGTATATACTCTGCAGTTTCATCATTTTCCAGACACTGTCTTCCGACAGTACAAGTCTGCATGTGATGATTCAAATGACGGTAAGAAGGCCTGTTACACATCGTACTTCATCCTTACTGTAGTCCAACAACTGTTTGGAATCAAGCTTCGAAGGGTGAATAAACGCCTTGAATTGAGCCAGTCCTGGAAGATTCTGCCAGAAGTCCATAACTCTTCTTGCCATTCAGGTGTTCAGTGTTTGTTTGGCAAAGCCCAAAGCGATGCCAATGACGGTTCTGGTCCAATGAAGCCGCTTGCAGCACCCTCCTTTGCAAGAGAGTCAGCAGCTTCATTGCCTTCCAGGCCAGTATGGCCAGGAATCCAGACCAGAAACAATCTGCTTAGTCTTCCTATCGAGGCAGTTTGCTACCAATTTAGACGTTACTCGGTAGGACCAAGAGCTTGTGAGTGAGATTGGATTTATCCAATCTCTCGGCACACAATTCAATAGCGTAAATTTCCGCTTGAATTACAGTCGCATAAGTTCCTAGGCAGGTGGATAACTCTGTCTTGGATCTGCGACTGAAAATACCTGCACCAGAACCGGAAGGTGTTTTTGATCCACCTGTGAACCAACAACTATCTGCCCTTAATGTTTCCTTCTCCAGCAGGATACAGTCCTCTCTACTCGGGAATAGAACTTTATAAGGCAGTTCGTAGTTGACAGTTGGAGGCATAAAGTCAGAGGAGAGAAGAGAGAGGAGAGATCCTTGGGAGACTCCACAAGTATTTTTGAAAGACTAGAATTTTTGTTCTGCAACTTTACCATTTGAATTCTATCTGAAATATAAGATCGGAACCAATTAAGGGTTGTTCCTTTGATCCCATAAAGGAACAATTTTTTCAACAGCACTCTGTGATCAATGCAATCAAAGGCCTTAGAGAAGTCGCAGAATACTGCCGCAGCCACTTCACCTTTATTGAGCCTTACATATAACTCTTCTAGGAAGACAAAGATAGCATCATTTGTACTTTTGGATCTTTGAAAACCAAATTGTGAGCTACTCAGTATATTGTGCATCTCCAGAAATTTTAGCAACCTTTTTTTACAATCTTCTCTATCACTTTTGACAAAGTAGATATGGCCCGATCCACGGGTTTCATCATTTGCCCTGGCATATTTCATAAATTTCTGCACCAATCCATCAGCTTCACTTAATATTTATAGTTTTATAACATATTTCTGGCGTTTATTTTTAATAAACTGCAGACGTCCTCGTCATAGAATCATTTACTTTTCAAGATAGAGCTCTTTTCCTGGACTGTAAATAGATTTAATTTTCCTTTTAAAATAATCCATAATACAACGTATCTTTCCTGATCGATCGTAGGAGTTATTGTCATTATCGGAATAATGTAAACATCTCAAAATCAATAAAAATCTATTTCTGGACATACCGAGCAACCAATGTTGCAATCACTACTTGACCCGAGAATACCTACGACCCCGAACTTTCTTCATCCGATTCCAAAATATGAATCAACTTCTCGCATTCCATTGAATTAGGCCATAGTTTTCTTTTCTTACACAAACCAGAAGGTCCAGCTACACTATCCATTTTTTAATAAAAAATATAAAATTGCTCTTCACGACGATTCCAACACCAATTTGCCTTCCAATAAAATTCAAGACTGAATAGAAAAATGTGTATAATTTGTTACAAAATTTGTTACAATCTGTTTTGAGGGGATTATCATTAAAAATATAAATTGCTCATTGTAAACAGCAGTAAGAGTGCAATTCTAACTGGAAAATACATAATTCCAATTTTGCATAAATTACATTACTCATACACTTTCATCAGGCCGCCCAAATTTCAAATATGCATTTTTGTTCAACATGACGCTGGTAAAAACAGGATGTAGGTATATGAATTTTACAAAAAATTATACAAAAATGTATACACATATTCAGGTAAGAACGTGTTCATTACCCACCTTGCTACGTATATTTTCGTGTAATAGACACTAATAAGCGATTTATTTTTAACTAAAATAAGATATAGAAATAAAAAATTATATGGTAATTTAACTCACACTAAGAAAACTGACAGTAGAAAAATTAAATTTAAAAAAAGAACAATTAATTCTTAAGCTTCTCGTCGTAATAATAGGTACTATTTCAGAAAATTACAGAAACCGATCTAAATTTAGTTGAGGTATTGAACGTGCTAAGATATATTATGGTAAAGAAGGTACGCGTGTTTATCACTGTGATTCTAGTGATTTTTTAAAACGTCTAGACTCAAATGAATTTTTGTTTGATCAGTAAGCCGTGTCCATCAATCGCCATGTTTGCGACACAAAAGTCAATTTTTCTTTTTATAAAATAATGGACTTGCAAAGAGTTCATTTATTTGAAACGTGGTTTTGTTTTTCATAAGTGGTGATGAAAACTTTTTATTATGACTAAGGAGACATAACTGCGTAAATGGATACAAAAAATAAGGTATTTTAACATCTGCAGTAATTTTGATATATTATCGCTTTTTTCAGAATGCCAAACTGTAGAATACAATTATTGAAAAAACAAATTTATAACAACCTTGTTTCTGTCGCCAGCTTTTTGTAGAGAAGGTTTTGAATTCAACAGCTTCCTTGACTAGAACTAATTTGTCGCTATTTTAACACAAAATTGAACGAATAAGTATTTCATTTTAATTGTGAATCTCTTCCTGAAAAATCGGAAATGAGTGGAAAAATAATTTTGAGAGCTTCTTTCTCGAGTATGTAATGATCGAGTTAATTTCCAAATTAAAATATTTCTTTTTGCTTAATTGTCCATATACATTTTTCAAATTCATTAACTATTTTATTATTAGGATATCTTCACGTTATCAAATCTGTTATCAAATGACCCCACAAAATATCGTGGGGTTTAAGGTCGGGATACAGGGGTGGCTATTCTGCTGCAAACTATTTCAAAACTTTGGTTTGTGCTGCTTCACCAAAACGTTTGAGGTTTCTCTTCTCTTATCTGGCCGAAGATTAGTTGTATTCGAGATGTAACCTTTGAAACATCTGGAGTTATGATAAAAAACTAGCGTTTTGTGTAGATGGTGAATAAAACTAACTTTGTATTACTATTCATTTATTATACACTTTAAAATAATATTCAATATATTGACTTAATAGGTAAAAAACAGCCACAACATAATCTCACAGAAGTGAGATTTATTCAACCTTTTTAAATAAAAATATTTCCTACTTCTTCAAATGAGGTATACCTACCAGACAAAACACCAGGGTATTTTAACTGATTTAACTAATAATTTAACTGATTAGTTGATATAGCAATGTGATTATATACATTCTCAAAAGTGTGAGATTACATCGTTGGAATTAGCCGTATTCAAATTCAAGGGAATAAATGCATACATTAACAACAAACTGATTAATATCCATTTTCTTCAAAAGTAACAACAATGTAACAAACACTGAAATTGAATTTTCTCGAATAGGTACCTATATTGTCAATCAAAACCTGCAAGGAAAAGCTGAAAATCAATTTCAAAATATATAAAGCAAAGCCGAGTTTGTCAACGCTACTTAGTGAAATATGAAATGGGAAAGAAATCAATTTAATTGTTTTTCCCCAGTTTTAACAAAAGGTAACGGTAATAGTTATTCAAATTCGAGAACAAAAGAAAATGGTCACGGTTTTCTTTCGAAAAGTAGCCTACTGGAACTTTTTTTGGATAATCGATGAAAACAATCTTTAAATTCATAAAACCCAATAGTTGAAGTTACCTCAAAAGAAAATGGAAAATCTCTGTAAATTGCGATCAACAAATCAACATATTTCATTTATTTCACAAACTACACTTAAACGATTTGATCTCCACTAACTTTATTGAAAATAATCATAACATGTTTCGCTAAAACATTAGCTTTTTCAAATGATTAATTTGAATAATCATTTGAAAAAGCTAATGTTTTAGCGAAACATGTTATGATTATTTTCAATAAAGTTAGTGGAGATCAAATCGTTTAAGTGTAGTTTGTGAAATTACTATGGATCTTCATCAAGTAACGGCCGAATCAATCAGAAAAATATTTCATTTATACAAGGGGTCTCGAATAAAACTGTTGTTCTGAACATCTCAGATGAAAATGACTTAATGAATCGCATTGCGCGGGTGTTTTAGATTGAAAAAGGCACCCAAATCAAAAGCTTTTTTTCATTCAGTCAATTGTAACGTCAATTGTAACCACTATGAATTTAGAGTGCATCACTATTGCTGAGTTTGACTTCTGAGTATACTTCCATTCGTTCTGAGATAGTTAGCCTCATAGTTTTAGGTGAGACAACTAGTATATACTGGGTGATTCAGAATTATTTACTCGGCTGCTCCTACAACATGGTCGTTTATCTTAGAGAACACAAACTGGGAAATGATATAAGAATACTAGGTTGTTGTCAGAATATCAACATTTTCAACAAGGGAGCATAACATATGCCTGAGCGAATTTTATGTACTAAGGAAGTGATGACGTTGAAAACGTAGTGAATGATTTTTCACTTATAACGACTAATGTAGGGCTGTATCACAGAAAATGATTTCTGTTTGTTTTTCTGAATATTATTTCAACAGAATGCGAGCGCATTGAAACCCCTTACTGGTCATTCCTTCAAAGTTTTATTTCAATGCTGTTTTAATGATTTGTTTTCTCCCATTCATATTTATTAGGAACATTACCCTTTGTTAGTGAGTGCGAAAATTTACAGTGTTTGTTAAAGAAGAACTTGAAATGTAAACCAATTATTATCAAATAAAAACCTTTATTTCCATAATTCTCAGAGCTGAATAGCCTAACTGGTCATACTAGGAACCGGATGAGGACACCTGCAACATATCGCATTCGAGTTAATCATCCTTAATAGTACAACAGTCTTGGGGCTCGTGTTTCATTCGCTATTAATCAAACTTAAACAATACACTAATTAATTTGACAAAAAAGGTGTCATTTGATTGGCTAACACACCTTAATAATGAATGTCAAAAATTCAATCTAACACCATTTAAAAAAAAAATTTCATTCGTAGTTTCAGTACACTGTAACTGCTAATTGTTGATTGAATGGTAGAATAGACATATATCATATACAGATAGGCATTTATAACAACTGACATTTTAATTGACAGTTCACAATATATTTTAGACAGCAAGTGTAGCAAAGAATTCAACATAAAAATGCCTCCTTTTCTCAAATGGAATACGCTCTATTAGATGACATTAGTAAACACACAATCTACAGCGTAGTTTTGTATGATGATAATTTGATTGCAAATAATTTCGTATCACTTCCTGTTCTACAAATATACGTTGGGAATCAAGAAGAGTGTATTGAAAAATGTAGAAGCCTTCGGAATTTCAAGTAATGAAAGAGTTTTTAATGTTTTTAAGATAAATTAGAGACAGTTTTCGAGTTTAACGCTCAGTTCAGCTTTGACACAATACAATTCCGAATCACCCTGTATGAAAATACGTCCAAAATCACTTTTAGCCCGCTTGAACAGCTGCTCCTGGTGCGTTCCCGGATCCTGCCTCTGGGGAGTTGACTACCGGTTGCAATGGTTGAGATTGATAGGATCCCGCTGGCGCTGCGGCGGTGGCGGCAGCAGGATGGTCCGGCATGAATCTCACTAAATTGTTTAAAATTTGCTTGAAGAGAATCGGCAAATCTACTCACTTTACACAGTTCCCCTCAAACAGAATGGGTTCCAGAAAAATGACATACAAGTAAGCTATCTGCGATTATCGAGAAAGTTGGCTTTTAGCTTTAACACAGCGTTTTTTAAAAGCCTGTAAAACCTATGCTACTGTACAAAACATCAAACACTCATTCAAAACAATAACACATTGGTTTGTGATACTACAGTATTCAAATAAATTAGAATATTGCATCAAATTGCATCAAAACCTTGAAGTAAATCGCACAATGAAATGTAAAATGTTTAGAAGTTAAAAAACACAAATAATTGACATTACTGGAGTTTCATCCCAACACCAAACCGTGATCACCTTCAAGAGAAAGTTTAATCTTCCTCTTGAAGATGATCAGTTGGTGATTGAAACACGTATCGAGGTGTTCAAAATAACGGTTTGGTGTTGGGTTAAAACTCCACTAATATTCATTACTACACCAAAGGTTCCAAACAGTGCATTACAAGTACCAATAATTAAGTAAACTTTGAAGAGCATGTTTTAGATAGAAGCAAAAAACGAAAAACAATTTTATTATGTTTGATGTGATTCACATCCTTCACAGATTTTTTTTCTTGTCACTTTTATGGTATCTACTCATTTCATATTAAGGGGTACTGTGGGTAGGTATATCATAAATGCAAAAAGTATAACAAATTCAGAAGGATCTAGGACAAAATTCATTTTACAATTAAATGAAAAAAGGAAAAGCTTTTCTTACTTCACCTTATTTAGGGAGACTAAAGTATTTTTGAGAGAGGCTGACAATGTTTTGTGGTGACTGTTACAAGATTTTAAATCTGAGGAAGAATAAATGAAATGAAAATGAATGAAATGTTGATATTACTGAAAATACAAAAAAATAACGACCGTACCAAAATATTCGGATGTTACAGTTAAAACTGAAAGTAAATGTAAGAACTCTATGACATTTCTTATGAAAAAACACGTGCAAATTTGAGCAGGTCCATTCTGGCGATTTTCGGACCTCAGGCCCAGTTCATACAGAATGGAAGGGACAAAGGTCCGCGCCTCGTCTCTGCCAGACGTCCGGTCTGTGTGAATTGGGCCTTGGACTTTCAGCGCCGACTCCTCCACTTTTGCCGTCATACAGTCTATTGGGAAAGAAAAGTTTTGGCTTTCTACTTCTCCATCTTTATACAAAAATGTGGGAATCTTCCAAAGAAAGGAAGAAAGCAAATAGCTCCAAAATGAATTCTTTACAAAGATGTGTAGATCATATAAAGAAGTAACTTTCAGACACCAACTGGAACTCGAATACCAACTCAAAATAACTACTTTCGTGTAAACATTCAATTACACGAAAGGAAAAATACTTTCGAAACAGGAAAAATTCGCAGGGGGGGAAATCTAGTGAAAACGGTGGCTGTGGCATGACTAAGGTATTGTTTTTGGCCAAAAAATAAGCAATGACGAGTGAGCAGGTGCATTATCGTGATGCAAATGCAATGAATTGTTTTTCTACAATTCCGAACGTTTTCTTCGTATTGCTTCTCGCAAGCGGCGCAATACTTCAATATAGTACTCCTTATTGACCGTACGACCATGTGTCAAGCACTCATGATGCACTACGCCATGGTAATCGAAGAAAACAGTGAGCAAAACCTTGGCCATTTGATTGAATTCGGCGTGCTTTTTTGGTCTAAGCTCTCCTGGGCTATTCAACTGGGACGATTGGACTTTGGTTTCGATGTCATAACCATATACCCATGATTCGTCACCAGTTCAATGACCCTTTTAAGCAAATTTGAATGGCCGTTGACGTCATTTAACAATTCCCGAGCGATGCTTATGCGACAGTTTTTTTATGTGTGATTGATGACATGGTAATTCATGATCACTTAAATGAAATGAATAAAAATACTTTTGTCTAAATACCACTGGTAAATTTTATTTATACGACCGGTTTCGGGTTTGACCCCATTATCATAATGGGGTGAACCGGTTTCGGGTTTGACCCCATTATCAATGGGGTCAAACCCGGTCGTATAAATAAAATTTACCAGTGGTATTTAGACAAATGTGTTTTTATTCATGTCATTTAAGTGACGTTTTTTTGGGTCAAAATTCAGCAATTTTAGAACGAACTTCCGCTGCCACACGCTTCATGCTCAAAATTTCCAAAAAAATTGCACGGCATGATCCAATGGATATGCCGACATCCTCTGCAATTTCTCTAATAGTGATTCGACGACTCTCCTTAACAGTTTTCTTCACTTCCTCAACATTTTGATCGGCTGTTGATGTGCTGCGGCATCAAGGGCGTGAGTCGTCGTTCACATCTCGCCGACCTTCTGTGAAAAGCGTGTACAACTTATAAACACTTTCAAGTGTTTTTGAGCACTTAATTACATTTTTTACACAAAATTTGGTGCAAATGTTTTGATCCAGTGTTTTAGATAGCAGAAAATTGCCGAACACGCAAAACACTACCAACTAACTGAACAGGCTAAACAACAGAAACGGTGAACATATGTTCGAGACGAGTGTACCAACATAAAAAACAAAAAAATCGCTTTAGAATGTACGTAGCCCGCGAAATTTGAACATTCACTTTATTTTTTGAACAGTCCTCGTACAAAAACACTTCTTGCTATTCAGTTTGCACTCTGAACATTCGTTACGGATTTGAATCAGATATTATTCACAAAATTGCTATACAATACAGTAGATGAAAGAGGTAAAATTTCATTTACATAGAACATTGTTATCCTCAATGTTGGACATCGATGTTTCGAAATAAAACTTTTGTCTCATTGCCTCTTCAGCATCAATAATATTAAGAAATGCACTCAATTAATTCATAAAATTATTTCCTTATGTCACGAATGAGTTGAATCTACTCAAGTCATCGATGACAACACGTAATGACATTCATTCGCTTTTTTAATTCAATGCAAGCCTTAGTAATCGTTTTCGGGCGATAACTGGTCACTTTACTAACCAAGCGTCTTCAGTTCATTCAGGTTGGAGCCCAGCTCCGTTACCCTTTCAGCTGATTTTCGTCAGAAAGACAAATGGGTTCATGAATAAGGAGATGCTGGCGGTATGAAAAGTCCTCAGACATCAGTACCGTCCTTCACGAGGTACCCCTACTTGGCTGGGATGGGATGGGTGAAAAATCTGTTCATCCTTTAACGGGAGACATGAGGGCGGACAGAGTGTCGGGGCTTTCTATAATGGACTGCTGAATGGAAGGCAGCTGCAAATCTTTGCGGATGGCTTCATTCCGCATGAACCACGGAGCATTCACAATCATCCGTATCAACTTATTTTGTAATCTCTCCAGGATGGAGTTGTTAGATGGAGCCGCTTGTCCCCAGACGCCTGAAGCATACATGGTGACAGGCTTGAACATCGTGCTGTAGATGTGGTCATTTTGTATTTGATACTAATTTTTTATTTTCTGTTGATCAGAGGGTACAGACTAGCTATCCGACCCTCGATCTTTGTTTTAACGCACTTAATGTGCTTTACCCGCGCTTGCCTGTCGATCTCCCTTCCAGAGATTCTCACTTTTCTGGCCGGAGAAGATAGTAATCTTCCCATGGTTATCACCTGAGTCTTATCCGGGTTCACTCTGATAGTGGCCAATTTATGTTGTGTAAGACTACTTATAGGTAACTTCTGTGCAAAGTAGACTATTTCTACACATGAATTGAGGTTTCCGTGTGTTTGGCTGAATGCGTTGTTGGACAACATGTAGAACAAAACAAGAAAGAAAGATACTCGGTGAAGAGAAACCAGCGGGAATAGCGGATCATGTTTGGACTCATCAACAAACATCGAGTGGTTTGGAGCTGAAATCACCCAAACGAAGTAACACTGGTTCAAGTGTAAGTTGGAAGAAGCTGCATACTCATTGACCAACGACGTATTCAGTCAGGCTGTGGAGATACGCAACATATGGAAACCTCTGATCAAGTCTACGTGGCACTGAACTGGGACAATGAGGGGAGAGTGGAAAGATATGAAAGCGCCCAAGTGACCTAAAAATAGTTTCATCTATCAGGAACCAGTTATTTCCATGAAGACTATTATGAATACTAACAATCGAAAGGTCGTGAAGTACTTGGTTTGATTTTTCTATCATTTATCTTAATTATTTTTTTTTCATTTCATTGATATTGCATTGATTGTTTAACCCCCTTATTGATTCGTTTGGTTTCAGATCACAATGATTTGTTTTCCTTACAAGTTAATGATTTTTTATATTTATTGCTTATATATGTCCGCTCATTTTTTTACTTTTTGACATTATTTTTGTTCTAATAAACTCATTCGAATATTTCGGATTAATTTTGGTATTTTCAATAATTTTAACATTCATTTTCATTTTATAATTTCTTTCATATATTTGAAATCTGTTAACAACTCTGTAGACAATGGAAGTCTGAACTGCAGCTAATACTTCGTTGTTTGCGCTCATTTGTACATTGTACGCAAGAAATATAAATTGAAAATTAATTTGAATTAGGTAAAGAATCTCTAGAAAATACATATTTTTAAATTACTTACATATTTTCATTGAAATCAGGAAAAAACATTTGATGTTCGAAAAACATAGTTTATTGAAAATTTTGACGTAACATTAAATGCGCCTTCATCAGTAAACTGTGCATATTTTAATTTTTAGTTTTCCATTTCCAACTCATTTCGGGACAACCAATAATAAATTTCAACCAAAAATACACGTTGCATTCAAACAGCTCTAAATTATTTGATGAAGAAAAATATCGAATTATTTTCCTAAGTTTTGTCATAGTTTCACTTCCACTTCCCATCTAATTTTATTGACACTCGGACATGCACAGGATGTCAGAAAATATTTGGAACACCAACGAAAGTACTTTTTCATCTCATCAATCCTGTGAAAAAATTTTTTTCAACGGACATTACGTCAACAAGTTTGGCATCA